GATGGTCGCTATTATGGGAAAAAACAATTATAAGAAGAGCAGAGGCCTTATGTCTAACATTCGTAATAATCCACGACGACAGTCATCTACGAATCTTGAAATACGCTGGAAAAACAGATATAGGTAGGTACGCATAATATGTAATAATGTTTCATATCAAGATTTCCCAAAGACAAGGGCAATAAATATATGCACATAAACATAATATATATATTGTTTAAGACTGCAAGAGTATTGATAAATTAGTATTTACAATAAAATATAAATTAGCAAATCATTTGCATATTGTCTAATATAAATACTTCACGCACTTGAACCACGGCATAAAATAATAATTATTAGGCTTTTCCAACGATATCGATATCGGGAACTTTTGTATGAATATTTCGATTATTATCTATGCACAATATTGTCACTATTATAAGTTTTTTTTTATTTACATTCCTAATCAGGAAAAAGGTAACTTTTAAAAAATATTTATAAAAATATACTATAACATTTTATATACATGCAAGTTACAATTCCTTTATTTGTAAATATCAAAAAGCAGGGGTGTATTGATTAGGGTATTGTATAGGTATACGCGGATATACGCCGTATAACCGTCATCAGATTTTCGAATTTTGGCGTATACCTAATGTAAAATATTATTTTATGGATATACGCTTTTTAAAATAACTCGAAAACAAAAAAAAAAAAAAAAAAAAATCCAATGGTTCAATGGAAATAATTGTTATGAATTATGAAATTTGAATAAAATATTTATCTATTGAAGATGACACAGTACGCTTTGTTTAATGTATTTTAATTTAAATGTATTAAATAACTTTTTGAATAATAGTTGTTATTAAATATAATATGGAGTATGGACATTCAGCTCTTGGTTCATAAAACTGCATTATTATTACCATATATATTTTTTATTCATCTTCTCTTTCGCCTTTTTCCCAACTATTTGGGGTTGGCCATATATATACTTTATATTAATTGTTATTATTTTAATTTTTATATTTGTGGGTTGAACAAAAGTATACAAGTGTACAACAAATAAATAAATATTTTAGTTGTTTTCTGAAAGAATTCGAATCAAAGTGAAAGGCAATCACGATCGACTCGAACTCATGTCACCTGTTGGCCACCTCTGCCCTATAAAAACAATGGCCAAAACAGTTGGAGTGCATGGCCCCTCTTGCCATTCCTGCGGGTATCCTTATTCAATCCCGATATTAATTTTTACAATACGAGTAATTAAAATAAATGTTTAGTGGGCAAAATATAGCTGTGATTAATGAAGAAACTTCACTTGATTCGCCGACAGATGTTTTTGATCATGAACCATCATCAATTATTGACGCGAACTACGGCATATTTTTATATTCTGAGAAATCTTATACTGATCAAAATTTTATTTGTACCCCATCTGAAACGCCTGATGACAATGGCATTTTTGAAAACACCAATTTATATATAAACGAGTCACCTTTAATACCAACACGCTCTCATTCATCTGATATAACTGGTAGACGAACAATTACAAGAAATAGATCATACACCGTTTTCATGTTCATTCAAAAACATGCTAATTTAAGGTGAGCATAGATGGCTTTATGTCATAATTTATCATTAAATGTCAAATCTGTAACAAAAAATCTATTATTGAAACCGAAAAAATACGTTTTTTCTAGAGACGGTAGAAGATAAATTATGAATTAACGTAAATAAAAACGAGGCAATTGCGGCGTTTAAATCATCCATGAGTATTGAAACAACGGAAATACATAGGAATTGCATGAGGAAAATAATGTTCAACTATAGTTGAATAGTTGAAAATCACGACCGAACGCTCAGAATCAAACAAGCGTGACTCGGCGTGTTTGATGCACCAGACGCTACTGAATGCACGTTTCATTTTCCTATGTTTAATTATGAACGACGTTTTTAAAAAACGGACGCGCGCGTTCGAATCGCCTAATGCGTATTCAACTTAAGCCTTAATAATAATTAAATTGGATATCGTATAATTGTTACACTGCTATTACTCTATAAGTATTAAAAGTTTTTGATGTTTCATATTTTATCGTATTTGAACATCAGATTTGCGGTTAGACTAACCGGCGATCTAATTTCTAACCTATAATTGGTCTGGTTTTGTTTACAATCGAGTATTACTCGTATCATGTGGATCGTATACAAACGATTATGTTATTGTAGGAAACTGTTCGTCTCGCGATGGGAGTCGCGACAATAGTTCCCAGCTAATATGATAATAAAACAATAACACACATAGACGTATAACAAGAATAGTATTTATTGGATGAATCCGGATAAGTATAACGAATATGAAAAACGCTCAAGCGCCTACAAACACTCGCGTGAGAACGCGTAATAATAAAATGCTCGCGCGGAACAAAAGTGAAACGAAATAATACATAATGTCATAATGTTTAAGGCGAAAGTTCGTTTAAACTTGTCGGAACGGCTCGCACGTATAAACGAGACGGGGAGGGGGGAGCGGTTAGATCGCAAGTATGGCGTTATGCGTAAAACAAAAGGTTCGTGTGGACGGTACAGAACGAGATGTACATCGTATACGATGACTTATCAGTTAAATTCATTTTGAACAGGACTATTTGAAGTAATAGAAGTACATATTAGGAAAAAAAAAGGAATACAAAGAGGTAGAAGAGGTGTAATAGTTCATAAGAATAATGTAAAAAAATATTATAATGATAAAATAGAATATAATATATTATGTAATTATATAATAGATATATAAAAAAAATAATGTATATATATAACACCTATAAATAAGTTAAAAAATATTAATAATACAATAGGAATGAAATTAAATCATCTAGATAAATTATCACATTCTGTTGACAACTTGGAGGAATTAATAAGTAAAGAGGAAGAAAGACAGATAAATAAACAACATAAATAGATACATTCAAGTTTAATATATGTAACTTTAATTTTGAGAGTATTATCAATGGTTTTAATAATAATTGTGTATGTAATGATAAAGTATAAAATACAATGTTATAAAAATAAACGAATTATAGAAGAACCTAAAATATATAAGTTATCAAAAGGGATTTAGAGGATTACGAGTTAGGAAATATAGAAGAAAGAGAGAAATTAGAAGTGAGAGAAGAAGGAGTTCATCCACATATAATCAATAATCACTTGATACGATAATTTTAAGAATAATTAATTTTTTATTTTAAAATTAAATTGAGGATAATCAAATTGTAACACCATTACTTGGGAAAATGCATAATTATGAAAATAACTGGATATCTTGGGCAATAACAATTTTATTTCTACAATTGTAATGATAAATATTTAATAGTTAATCGCAGTTAATCACAATAATATTTTATAGTTGAAATAATAATTCAATGAATATTAATTTGGTTTAAATGGGAATGATAAAATATTTCAATGGTAATAGAATAATAATATTAATATAAGGTTTTGAAAAATTGTATTTGGTGAATGGGTAATACTAACATTAGTAAATTAAGTATATCACATTTTAAAAGTTTGCATGTTTAAAAACAAATTTTAAATTACTAGCTAAAGTAATAATTAAATTGTATTCTGTTTTAGAATTAAAAAAAAAAAATATTCAGTGTTAAAAAAACAAAAATATTAACATTTACTAAATGTTCTATATAAAACATATATATTTTCGGAATGTTATGTTAAATAAGATTTTGAAAAACTTAAAAAGCTTGGAAAATATTGTAAAAGATTTCTGTCTTGCAGACCGAAACCTTTTTTTTAGTGGGGAGGTGTTATGGGCTTCCATATATCATATAGTATATTGCGCTTATATTCATGTAATACTTGATTACCACTATATTTAAAATACAGGAAATGATAATGTTACATTATATTCTTTTTATAATCTAATTGCCGGTCTATATAACCAGAAACACTATGTAATAAAAATGTACGAATGACAAAAGGTAATAAAAATAATCAGAAATACTGGATATTACAAATGTACTAATTACGAATAACAAAGACGATTAAGCACTAAAACAGCGAGGGCAACAGTCCACGAAGCCATGAAGTCATAAACCTATTCCTGGAAGTCGCCAAAACAACGGGAGCAGTATCTTTATAACGTCAATGGAGCAATATAAAAGAGGGACGGAAACAACTACAATTCAGATGAGTTCTAGTCACGAAACTAAAAACAACTTCACGTCACTCAGTATCAGAATTTTGTTAAACACTTTGAATTATAAAATAAACATATTAAATGTATTAAAAAGTTAAAGTCTCATATCTAATTAATTAAAATTAAATACATCTTCGACTACACAATTTAAAATTGAGCCAGTGGAACGTAACATCTTATAACACAATAAAAAAATTCAAAATGAATTATAACTATTCTAGCATCCAAACTGTACCGCAACTAGAAGTGGGACTGGGGGTGATCAGCACTGTCAAGGGGCCTCAGCTTAGAAAGATTGAGGACTCAAAATGCCTAGAATTTATTGTACTGTATACATTTGAGAGAATATCAAGACTAGTGGCACAGTAACTATTTTTCTTTATTTTCCAAATTATAGTTTTGTCCCCTAATATCCGAGAGAACAATTTCCCCCGCCCCTTTATCTGATGACACTGCAAAGACATAAGATAAATTGAAAAATAACGAATATTCTAATTCACTGTAAATATTAATAGAGCTAATAACGTCAAAGTTTAAATGGTTTATCATATTTATAGATTTTATATTATATTTAGTGATAACAAACACTGGATGATAATGAAACTATCGTTAATTTCAGCCATGATAACTGCTCCGAAAAACTAGCTTACGTCACTGTCGCTATCATCTCGTGATGGAGGTATGGTGCCGAGCAATATTGCCAACCACGACGCAGCGATGAGACAGCACTGTGGTGATGGTCTATCACATTACGCTATCACGCGTGCCGTTGTCACTTAACCTTGATTCTTTCAAGCCTCATGTTTTTAGCTTTGTACATTGTATTTCGTTATTTAACATTCTGTTCGTTGCTGTCGTTTTTGAATTGGCGCATTCACTTTGTCGTTTTTTTCATTTCACATCATTTGATCGGCGAATAAATAAAAACCATTGAACATTTTCGTGTGTGACTCGTTACTACGAAGATATACAATATGGCTAGCAGAGGTTTGTTGAATGATGAATTTGAAACAAGTGAAGACGTCGAAGTAATATCTTCATTTGATAGTTTTAATCTTCGAGAAGACCTCATACGAGGCATTTATTTATATGGTGAGTTGCTTAAGCGAAATGCAAATCTCTTAAAGGCTATATGTTAATATTATTACATTTTATGTTTTAATAACTTTTATAGGCTTTGAACGTCCCTCTGCCATACAGCAGAGGGCAATCAAACCAATAATTGAAGGCCGTGATGTTATTGTCCAGGCTCAATCTGGTACCGGTAAAACTGTTGCATTAGCTATTGCAATGTTGCAATCAATTGACATTCAGCTCAGAGAGACACAAGTGTTGTGTTTGTCGCCCACGCGAGAGTTAGCTGTACAAATACAAAAGGTATAATTAACATATATTATTTACGTTTATTGAAACATATTAATCGCATAATAAGCAAAATTGTTTGAATTATTATATTCAGTACTTAAGTAATAAATTAACAGAAATTGTAGTTGTGTTTTGAACGTACCTTAACAAAAATAATGTGTAATATTGTAAAAACGTGGGCATGAATCGTCTAAGGGGGCATTCAAAATTATAAATGTTAGCAATAAAGCAATAAAAATATATACATTGGAATATTCATAATCAAAAATATTAGGATCGAAAATCAATAAATATCACATAATATCTCAACAGCCACCTTATCATTGAAATTACATTCTATTTATGTCTGCATTTACAACAATAGTTGATTTTAGGTGGAAAATGTGTAAAAATTCAATAGTAAAATACGTCATTTTTATAAAAACTAGTGGCATAATTTGGATTCGTCAGTGGTGTAAGCAATCACCAAAAATTATACCTACTTTATCTACATTTTTTTTTTTTTTAATATCCAGAAAGTTGCTCACAATTTATTTTACTGATTTGACCCTATAAAAATGAAAGAACTACATATTTCATGATTTTTCTCTCCTTCACTAATCTAAAAATGTGTATTATTTATATGAATATATGATGACAATTAAAAATACTGGCCATATGTCTGTTTAAGTGAACTAAATTTATCCCAAGGAAAATAATCTTAGTAATAAGATAAATTGTAAGAGATAGGCCACTACTCAAATACCACATTTGAATGAACTAAACTTAATAATGTATATTATATAATGAGTTAATGTTTTTTGATTTTCCAATTAATGCATTAATTAATTAATTAATGCTGTTTAAATGTAGAATTGAATTTTTCTGTGCTTTCGGCCACTGTATTTTCTGTAATAATAAATCAATAAAATGAATATTATGTATCATATTATATAATTATATGTATATGTATTGTATTAATAATACAATTAAACTATTATACAGATAGTTTTTGCATTGGGCGATCATTTAAATGTTCAGTGCCACGCCTGTATTGGCGGAACTAATATTGGAGAAGATACTATAAAATTAGATTTCGGTCAACATATTGTTTCTGGCACTCCAGGACGAGTGTTTGGTATGTATAATTTGTTTTTCAAGATCTATAGATATTAAACAGATTTGTTTCAATAGATATGATCAAGAGTAAAATATTAAGAACGCAAAATATTAAAACTTTAGTATTAGATGAAGCAGATGAGATGATTTATAAAAGATTTAAAAAACAAATATATGACGTGTATCGTTACTTGCATCCAGCAACTCAGGTATAATTAATTCATTTTTTACATTTTTTCAATTGTAAATAATAATGTTAAAAAAAATGAATATACCTACCTATATTAAATTAATTTTTAAATTTTCATAAGGATTAACTTTTCCTTAATTATAATTGAAGATAAATTTATTACCTGTCTTGTATTTCTTTAATTTTATTAATTTTTCTAGATTATTATAATATCTGCAACATTACCATATGAAATCATGGTTATGACTAACAAGTTGATGACTAATCCAATTCGGATTTTAGTAAAACGGTTTGTATAAATATAAATTATTATTGAAGTATCAACCTTATAATTAATTATTTATCTATGACTTTAGTGATCAATTGTCACTTGAGAGTATCAAGCAATTCTTTATATCTGTTGAAAGGGAGGAGTGGAAATATAATACGTTGTGTGATCTATATGATACACTTACAATATCACAAAGTATTATTTATTGTAACACTAAAAAAAAGGTTAATTATCAGATATTTATGGTAAATTTTTCTTAATTAACCAGTTGTATGTGATTGGTTATTTAGGTGGATTTATTAACAGAAAAAATGAAACAATCTAATTTTCATGTTAATTCGATGCATGGTGATATGCCTCAAAAAAAAATAAATGCAATAATAAAAGAATTTCAGGCTGGTCAAACGTGAGTCTAGAATATTTTCATTATTTTTTTCTTTCTATTTTATTTGTAATTATTTTTGTTTGTTTCTAATTTTAATTGATTGTAAATAAATAATTATGTTTATTGTTGTTTATTACTAATAATTGTAAGTATACGAATATATGTTTATATTTACAGGAGAGTTTTGATAACAAATGACATATGGGCAAGAGGTATTGATGTTCAACAAGTTTCTTTAGTTATTAACTATGATCTGCCCAACAACCGAGAATTTTATATACATAGGTAATTTAATATTAAAATTGTTTTGAATGGGAATTAAAATCATATTAATAAATTATATCATTTAATACAAAAATTGATTTTTTTGTATTATATAAATATATATATATATATATATATATATATATATATATATATATATATATATATATATATATATATTATATAATATGTTAAAAATTACAAATGAGATTATTATTAATATATTAAACCTAATAATACTAAAATATTTTTAGGATTGGTCGCTCAAGAAGATTCGGCAAGAAAGGTGTGGCAATTAATTTTGTAAAAAGTAATGACATTCATATATTAAGAGATATCGAACAATATTATTCTACGCAAATACATGAAATGCCCACGAATGGTGAGTTTGATTTTTATAAATAAAGTATTTGAACATCAAATATGTGCTCAAAGGATATTGAGCATTGCATGTTCAGTAGACTCTCAACAGTTCGAAAATTCGATATAAAAAGGTTTTCAATTTAGCGAAAGTATAAATTATCCAAGGAAAAAATGAATAATACAAATTAAAGACAGTTAACACTTATTACTGTACATATTTATTATTTAAAGCTGGCACACTAGGTACATACTCAATCATTATTTATTCCATATTTAATTTTAAAAAATCCGTTATTTTCTTTTAAGATTCGTTTTTGGTTATAATCTGGTCCATATTGATATCTCTAAGGCTGTTTTTCCCAACCTTTATGGTAGGACCAATAAATGCTATTTGTATTGATGACCTTCCAAAAAAAAAAAAAAAATGTAGTTATATAACATAACTAATAATTTAATTATAAAGAATTTTATCATATAATTAATATACTTAAACGTAATACTGCCAAATTGAATTTTGACAAATATATGATACTTACATTTTGATAATCAAGATATTTTTCTTGTCATTACTTTACAGTGATCCAACAAAAAAAATTCATGTTATATTTTATTATTATAATTATATATTTTATAAAACGCTGATATAAGGAGCTTATTCTAAATTATTTTATTTTATTAGTTATTTTACGATTTATTAGGGAAACCAAAATACGTGTTTTTTTCGATTTACAGACCATTTATTTAACTATCGAGAGTCTACTGTATTTATAATTATTAAAGATTAAAGTATATATGCATCCATTTAAACTACTCTTAATAATATTGTGAAAGTAACAAATATAAATATTTTATTCAAAATTATTTCATTATAAAATGTATAGATAATAAATCATTTTTAAAATGTATTAAATTAATCTTTAATATAATATTTATTTTTTATTTTTAGTTGCTGACTTGCTATGATTTGACCTAAAAGGAAAGACTACATTTATTATATATTAACTTTTTTCATTTAATTATTTTTAATAAAGCAATGGACTTTAAGCAATTAACATTGGTTTTGTTCCTTACTTTTCAATAGATGTATTCCATTGATGATTTTACTTAATATTTTCATTTCACAAATATGTAAATAAACAATTAATTAAATCCATGATTTTACATAAAAAAAATTATACAATTTTCAAACAAATAACAAATGAACAATTTTTCAATATTATATCATACATTTATTTAATATATTTTAATTTAAAATTCTAGGATTAGTTAAACTTTAAGTCAGAATAACTGCACTATCAAATTTAGGATATAACTATAGGAACTAGCTCAATTTAATATGTTATTTTTTTAATGTATCCATATAATTTTAAAGACGTAAAAAAATTAAGCTTAATTTTTATATAAACCTATTATAATTATATATTAATCCCATATTTTGGAAAATGCTTAGGTATTATATAAAATGTCAAAAATCACTCGGCAATATATATATAATACGAGTTTTGCCTAGGTATTATGTATAATGCCAAACTTAGAGTATGCAATATGGTGAAAACAAACAAAATTGGGCATCGCCTATTATTAACGACTTTACTTATCGTTTATCATAAATGTGCGGGCACGATTTAACGCAATAAAGATTAATATACTTTTACTACTATAATAATAATTCTGATACGATTTATATGAAGTCAAATTTTAATAATAAACTGTAAAAATTTTTTAAAAACTTCGCCACTTATACAATTTTCTTATTTGATGAAAAGTTAATGAGTTCGTAAAAATTCAATCCACAAGAATTGACCAAGGATTTTCAAAATGTTTTTGTTAGTGACAAAATATAAAATGTATTTGTGTTAAAATAACATTTTAAGCATTTCAAAATGTCACATTTCTACAACATATTATAATAAGTAAATAGTAAGTTAAGTAAAATATTTATATAATCTATACTAATATATAAAATGATAGCTTTTGTTTGTATGTAGGGGATAAACTCCGAAACTATTTATTAAATCGTCGTGCAGTTTTTTTTAAATAAAAGAGGATATCACAGAGAAGGGTTTTAGGCATAAATTAATTCCGATAAAGTTAATAAATAATTAGTTATTATTAATTAAAATAAACGTATAAATTGTATACCTATATATAAGTATAGATATTGTGCGGCACGGCTGACTGCGGGTTTCCAGCTATCTATAACCTGAACTTTTTTTATTTTGTGTGTGTTTTATTGGTGAATAGATATGAATAATTGTTCCGAGAAATAAAATACTTTCCGTACCATGTTATTTCAACAATTTTATTATCATAGGTTTATATGTTAGGTAAGTACTAATATTGTTAGCGTGTCTGTTTAGTTAGCAAAAACCACTCGAAGAGATGAGTTTTTTGGTATATAATGTTTCGCATATAGTAAAATGTTAGTATGGAATTAGTTATTTAATAAGTTATATAAGTTTTCTAGAAATTATATTTTAAAATAGAAAATTGTAAAAAAATTAAAAAAAAAATTATTATATTAATAATAATAATAATTATATAATTATTATATAATATATAATTTTATATATTATATATAAAATTATTATATATTATATTATTATATAATTAATTATATAATAATAATAATAATAATAATAAAAATAATAATAATAATGGTTCATGAGTCGGTAAAGTTCAATACGATGTTTAGTATATTTTTTCATCGCTTGGAGTAGGTACTTATTATGTACAGGATATATAGTCATGCCAAGGGCAAAATCTTCATTATCAAGAAGAACTTCAGATGCTAGAAGAGTTCAAAATGCGAGACTGTGATAGATTGCTGAACAACGACAGAATCGATTATCGAAAACGGTTCGGAGTAATTCGACCGTTCATGCGCTAGGATATTCTGTTCGAACTGAACTTCAATTATTACAGGAGCATGTACATATAGGAGAGAGGAGAACCCGTGAATCATGATTTCGACGATTAACGCGTCTTGAACAACAGCTTGAACGATCCAAGAGTAACAGGGTACAAAATGTAAGCTTCCTTGGAATCAGATGTGCCTTTAATTATAACTGCCAATTAGACTTCATCAATTTCAAAGAGATTCAGATAGGTAACAGGAAAAATATGCTCCAAATGTCATGCAAAAAAATGGAAAGACGAACCACTTGGCTTATGCTGCACGCAGGAGAAAGTAGATCTGTCACCTTTTCATGAACAGCCCGATATTATGCAAAGTCTACTAAATAATACACACCCGCTTTCTCCAAATTTCTTGAAAAAAAACTAGTTAGTACAATACGTTATTCGAAGGAAAGAAAGGTTTTGACCAACGAAACAATTGCTGCTTGTGTTTCACTAAGAACGACTAAAATTTAATAAAAATAATGTAATAAATCTTTAATTTTGTTTATAGTCTTAGAAAGTATAATTTTCTTTAGGGACGTAAACGATTGAAACCTGAAAATTAAAAATTTGACACTTGAACCTAAAGAGGTTCGCCATCCCTAGTATATAGAGTATTTTAATTTCCCATTATCTTCAATATACAAAGTTTACAGATTATATAATACCTATAATATACCTATAATGTATAAACTATGTTTAATTTATACTGCTTTTTTAATATTATTTATTATTGTTAATTAAATAATGTATTTTTTATAATATTTTACTATCAAATACAAATTGATTTAAAATTATAGTACCTACCTATTATAGTAAACCTTTTTGCAGAATATGTGTGATATGTCTATAACTATTGTGACTATTACTATAGTTATTAAAATTAATTTGTTGGTATTGAATTAAATTATAATTATAATTAGGGAATAAAAGTGTTGGACCCCTCCTAAAAAATTCTTGGGTACGCCCCTTTTTCATTACATACAGCTCATGTTTCTGTTGCTCATTCGAGTGAATAAATAAAAATACAAGTGCCAAATTGAATTAAATATTTATTTAATAAATATATTAAAAACCTACTGCATATAAAATAAGTATTAATAATAACAACACAAATAGTTCTTATATTAAAACTGTACCTTCAGTCTGAATCCTGTATAAAAAAAAACAACAAATAATCATAGTAGTAATAGTACCTATTAATTATTTTTTAAAAGGTTTAAAAAACAATCAAGATAGGTAACTTAATTTAACAAATATCTAAATAGAAAACATAAGGTTGGTAAGAAGTCAAATAAAAAATTCCAAAATTCTTTTTTTCATTTTGACAAATTTGTTGATTTGTTTCATCAATGGGTACAATAATATTTTTATGCATATGCAGCAAAGCTAAACCTGTTAGTTTATGCTAGCCTATTCTTGATCTTATATATATATATATATATATTATAATTATAATCCATATAATTTTGGTTTTGCTTCATTGAACCTTCATTGTAAATTTTTAGAAATTAAATATAAAGAAATGAGTTAATTTTAGATGGAACATGAATTAACACTTGTAAGTTAATTATATGAATTAAATAATTACATTGTTTATGAATTTATAAATAATAGTTAAAAAATATTTTTTAATGTAGGATTAAAATAAAAACTATAAATCTTTAATTCATTATATTATATATTATTACAATATATTAAATCGCAAACATAAATAAAAAAAATACTTATTGAGTATTTCTGTTTAACGAAAATAAGTGCAATAGTTTTTATAATAATAGTTAATAAAATAATTGAAATGATAAGAATTAATTTGGGTACCTATTTACTTGAGATTTTGTATGTATACAATGAAAATTGTTCTAATATTGTTCATAAAAAAATTAGTGGGAGTAAATAAATCGATTTACTATGAAAGTATAATATTCATTATCTTCAGCATATCTTTAAGTGGAAAATAAAAATATTTTAAATTTATCCATTTCCAATTAATAGTAAATACAGAACAAGAACAACTATAATATTTGGTAAAGGTAATAGCTATTCGGTAATCAGTATACGTATTTTAACGAGTAAAAATAGTGTCACGGCTGATTCTGTTTCCTTCATAATTATGTATATATATGTATATAAAACTTATCACCAAAATAAACTTAATTAAGTGGCTGAGTGGGCTACACAGGAGTGCACACGAGATATGTCAGGTGTGTTCGAGCAATTCCAGAATGCTGTAAATAGGGCCCTACGATTTAAAGTGCAGCCACACCATTATTTTTCTATATTGTTATAGATTCTTTTTATTTCCTTTTTTCAAAAGGGTTTACAAAGTGTTAAACATTCTTGTTAACGAACATATTTGCCTTCCGTTGGAACTAACCGATGGGACATCACAATAAGTCTTTTGTGTTTCTACCGGATGATTTTTTTAAATATTCAACAAGGAATTATTTATATACTAATGAAGTTAATCATTTTATACTTTTCACTCTGCAGTAAAATCACGTAATAGTCACTAAAAATCACAATTATAATTTATATTTATAATAGATATATTTATATACATTCTTTTAACTTTAAAATAACATTAATTATCATAATTTTTTTTATTATTAACTATAATAATTGCCTTTATCGGATATGTTATGCCATAAAGTAAAATATAATTTTGAGGAACAACAGTTATTGCAAATGTATTATTAACTAATCAGCTAATTAAGTATTTAAGAAACTAAATTGCAATTTGAATCTGATGAGGATTTTTAATAATACAACTTGAACTCGATTATTTTCAATTAATTTTATTTAACTTTTATTATTATTATATTTATATTATATTATATTTTTCTATATATTTCATGATGTCAGATTCTTATTTAATATTCACATCAAGCGTTTCCTATATCCCCAATACAATCCATTATCAGTTATGGTATTTGTATTTGGGGTCAATCATATGATTCATATACTTATAGATTAATTAAATTTTTACTGTTGAAGCCTAGGTATTATAATAATGATTCTGCTTATTTAGAACTTAATGTCTCACGCTTGCAAAATTTATACTATAGAAATATTCTATTAAGCATGTTTGAGCATAATATAGCTATGATTCCAGTCGGTCATTTCCTAAGGAGTTTTGTGTAGGCTACCCATTAATCCCGTTAATATTTGAGTTGAGAGTGTGTGCGAAGTAAATGAATGTTAGTGTGTGTGTTCGTTTTTACGGATGCAACTCGCCTGCATTCCCAAAATAACTGATTACACTATTATCCACTGCGTCTACCCGCTCACCATATATTTATCAGTAATCACTAATGACTTATCCACACACAATGCTATTTTAATTTACCAAATATTTCTTATTGGTATTATTATTATTATTATTTATTACATACACATTATTTACGTCGATTGAAAAGATTGGGAATTGCACAAATTGTTCAATTCGCCATTCGGATACAAAATTTATATTAACAATATGTATTTTATTTTCCTATATCATGGGTCATTCCTATTTATAAATCTATCTATCTATCTATCTACCTATCTTCTATACTATATATAAAATTGTAAGGGTTTTTCTTAGACCGCGCTAACCGAGAAAACTACTGAACCGATTTGGCTGAAACCCGACACTCTACAGAAGGTTTTAGTACAACTTTTGTCAGTAAAAAAGTTCATAAAAATTAAAATCAATTGTAGAAGAGTCGCGTGTTAGTGGCTTTGTAAGCGGGCCGCGGGTTTACAGCTACCTGCAACTTGACCTTTGTATAGTGTTAGATATTTAACAGGTCATCAAACGATTTAATTGACATTCATCAATAGTACACGCGCATCCAAAAACATTTGCCGAAATTAATAATAGTTTTAATATTACAAGAAATGTATGGAAAATACCGATCACGTTTTGCGTTATCGAAAAATACTCTTATGTAATAATATTCTTGCCAACAAACGTGTTACCATCGATTATAAATAGTATTATCAAGTTAATTTGTGAAATAATATTATTGGTTTTGAAGGAATTCGTCAACTTTCAGGGGCTAATGAACATATTTTATATTGGTTTTAACATAGTATAAAATATATAACTCGCTCTTTTATCTGTATATAAAATACATAATTAATTTAATTAGTTGACTTGCATGTATGAGATCAAATTTCGAAATTCGTAATATAAAATTTAAATAAAGCCGTGACATGGTCACCAGTGTCGGACTGAGTCGAAAAAGCTCAGGCTGTGATTTAGAAAAAAAGCCCCAATAGGCTATTTTGATAAGTACAAAAAAAAAAGGTTGCTTTGCTCAAAATCCACTTATTATGTACATAATCATTTATTTTTCAATACAATTGCCATTAAGCATATTTATGATATAGGCACAAATAACTAAATACGTACCTAACTAGAATTCCTTGATCCAACATATTTATTGGTTTTATTATATTTTCAAAAGACTTGAAGATATTTTACGAAAATTGATGGTCAGCACAACTAAAAAGGTTGGGAACCCCTGTGTTACATTGGTTCAGCAAGTAATTGGTTGATATAGTAAACTCACTAACTTGTAATGATAGCAAATTTATTTTAAAATAAAATAATCATAATTAACCTCTTTAAAGTAAACATTGAGTCTAGTAGTACTGTATTGTCTTATTTTTGTTTAGTTATACCTCATATTAAATTAAACTATTCTGTAATTTGCCAATCAAAAGTGTAAAAATTAAATATAATTAATCTCAGTTGAACTTATAAACTTATACATTTTTAACATAACTCAGTCTAAGAAAAATAAGAATTTAAAGTTCTTACCTTATTAAACTATCATTAAAAGATATAATTAGATATATAAAAAAAAAATAATTAATTAATGCATGGAGTTATCAAGTAAAATTCTGAGGTAAAGTAAAGTACAAATTTTAAAATTTATGTTCTTTTACTATTATTTTAATTATTTAATTTTAAAACCATATTTATTAAAATTACTACAATAAACGAAATATTTCAATAGAATAAATCAAAATCTACAAAGTATACTTTTTATTACTTTATTTTAAATCAATGATCTAATAAGTAATAAATAAATTATAGAACACATGACTGATAAAATTATTATTTTTTTCTAAGATTATATTAAACAAAAAAATGGAACCATATTATCTTATAATATATATACATTATAATATATTTATACTAATTATTTGATCTACATTATTCAGTTAAATATAAATAATATAATTCATAAAACATTGATAAATGTCAATGAATTTAAAAACTTGTCCTGTTGTACATGGTTAATTCATCATTCATCATATTCTACTTGAAAACACTTAATAATTATTCAAGCAAACGTATAATAAGATTAACAATATATAATAATCAACATAATTAATGTTGATATAATAATTAATGGTATTGGAAAGTGATTACAGAGATATTTAGAAAGAAAATCAAAACATATAAATAAAATCTTAAATTACAATGCTTATATAAAACTATTTAAAAGTGCACATGTTGTATACTGGTACCAAAAGGAGTATCAGTTAATCCAGGTACAATAGGAGTAATTATAACATGGAACTTTAATGATTCATAGATAATGTATGAAACATTTGTGTCATTTATGTTAGTGTTTGGTTGATTAATTGCATCATAAACCATAAAATCATCAATGTTTATTTTAACTTGTTCATTGTTAAACAACACAACTTTCTGTACAACTGACACAACATGAGTAATTTGATTCTGGAGAGCATACACTAGAATAGCAACACGAACTAAATATGAAAATGTTGTCATTTTTTCATCTTCTTTTAATTTCAGCTCAATTGTTGCACGCACCATTTTGACTATCATCTCTGGTAATTCAAGAGAATCACTCCAAGAAATCCATAATGCTTTACCAAACCATAATCCATTCAAGAACAATTCTACATTCTATTTAACACAAAATATTTAAAGTTGAAATTAATAAATTGTATTCAATTTTACTTACCCAATGTGTCTTATCAATTTTTTCTTGGTCTCGTTCAAACAAATCACTGTTCGTAGTAATTTCTTTGTCAACTGATAGAAAGTCTTTAATTGATTGTTGACATATACTAAATTTGTCTCCCCACCGGGAACAAGTGTACAATCTTGGAGTACATTCTAATTCATTTTTAGCATTTGATTGTTTTTCTTCTAGAAAGAAAGAAATTAAAAGATAATAATACAATATATAAAAGTTAATAATATAATATCAAATACCATACCTTTTTTTATCATATTATATTCCATTGCTGCAGCCATTTTTTCAATAAAAAAATTCATATTCTGTTTAAGAACAGGTTCTATTAACAATCGAGCCATTATTCGAGGAGGGATCATTGGATATCTAATATAAGACATAACATGTTCTGTTAAGGATATCCTGTACTCTTCTACTGTATCAGGATCGTTACACTCAGTCAATTTTTCTGCAGTCTGGAAATTTAGCCAAGACACAACATACCTATAAATAAAATATTATTTTAGTTTTATAAATCTATATTGAACATTAATTAAGATATTTACTTAAATAATTGTATTTCATCATGCACAACGAGATCAGACTGTTTTAATAGTCCAACAAGAACATCACATTGAAATGTATTGAAACAATCTACACATGTGTCAATATTCCATTTTATAAAATTTCTGCAAGCCTATAATAATAAAATAATCATTAAAAGTACTATATAAATTAGTATACATTAATGATTTATAAATATAATTAATATTAAAAGCTACTACAGTATACCTGTAAGTTTACTAACACTCAGGGCCGGCTCGAGGTATAGGCGAACTAGGAGCTAGGCACCTGCCTAGAGCTGCACTTTAGTAGGGGTGGCATTTTCAAAATTGACTTGACCATTTTTTTAGTTCTATTGGTGTTTTATAAAAAAAATATTTAAATGAATTTATTCGTGAAAACTTACCTATATAATAAAATAATATTGTCTAAAGTTATTATATTACTTTATATTACGGCCTACACTGGGCGTTTTCAATTATTCAAAAAATATAAATAACCACATATCTGATAGTCGCAGTAGTGAAAAGTTTTGAGTAATAGTAATAGAAATCATTTTTAAGTCTTTTTACACATAATTTTATTCATAAAATAAAAAATTTAAAAAATGTTAAGTAGATATGTCACATAAAAAATAGGGGGAGGGGATAGGTTAAAATAAGAGCTTAATTTTTTTTTTTAGAAGTGGCGAAATTTCATTTTGCCTAGTGTACTATTTTTGCTTGGACCGGCCCTGCTAACACTTGACATCTCTGTATTAAACTAACAAAATTAAATTTGTTGATTATGAGAGATATTTGATTATCAAAATTAAATTTCAATAGTATGAAATATTATCAAAATTTCATTAATTTAAAATTTTTTAAAAAAAACTAGATTCATAAAATTTGTAAATACCATATAGTTAATATTTCTTAAATTATTTAATTCCAAAAAAAAAAATATTTTATTTTGACCAAAATGTTATGATTTTTCAATAATTTAAACTTTTTTTTTTAATAGCCTTTTTTGTTATTCAATAAATATTTATATTTAATAGAGAATTCACTATAATTGACAGAATAGGTGTAGATTAGGGAACATACATCCAAGTAAGGAATAATGTAATATAAGTAATATAAAATAAAAGATGGTTTAACTGAACTAATGACTTTTGCTAATGACAATTTTGCTATATGGCTAACCTAACCATTTACACATAATATTGAAGGACGTGCAGTTAGATTCTACTTAAATTGCAAGGGTAGGAGCAGACTTTAAGTAACCCATTATATTTCTTAAAATAAATAAATAATATTCTTACTTTAAATAATTTATTCCATGGTGGCTTGATTTTTATACATTCAGTATCTTGCCAAATTTTACAAAAATATGCGGCCTGTAACAATTAAACAATTATGACCATTTCTTTTAGTTAAATTAATACAAAGCTAGAAAACATAAATTATAATAAATCGTGATATTGGAAAAAATGATATGATGTTTTGTCTATGTATGTATCATTAAAGAAATATTAAATAATTTTATAACAAAAAATAAAATTGCTTTTATTTGAGCTAACTTAAAATAATATAATACACTAAAATATTATTTTCCTCAATGAACCAACTGTCAAACTTCCTTGAACACTAAAAACTATTTACATTAGTTTACGCTGTATCAAATGTAGTGGAAATTACACTCTTTTCAACAACTGTAAAATAAGCCTTCAGTTCAAGTTTTTCTACAGCTTAATATAAAATATATCCAATTCACGAAATAGAATTATTTTAGTTTGTAGTTCAACCCAAAGCTTGTCTCCATTATTTATAGGCAAAAAACTAAAAAACCAACAACTCAACCATCATTCCATACTCCTCAACAACATTACCATAAATACCTTAATCCTACCAATCTTTTCCTATTCCTATCATAACAAAATTTTCAATAATATACAAAATAAAATAGCAAATATCTTTATTTATTATATGCATATCATTTTTAGTTTATCATTAAGTTTCAAAGGCATTTATCTGTATTACTTAATTTAATAATATGTGTTATTGTGTTATTGATAGGCTTTCAAGAAATCTTTTTATAATTGTTTAGCTAAAAATTTTTTGGTATAAAGCTGTTAAAATAAAAAATGTAAAACAATGAATATATTAATTCATTACATGTGAATAAATTAATTAATTGTGAATAAATATGTATTCAAGCATAAATTAATACAAAATTACATAAGTTTAATTAAATTTAATATTAAATATTACATATTATTTTATTTAACCTAATATTGATTCATGCCCAACAAAATAATTTGTGCTAACCTCTTATATATTTTTTTTTTTTTTTGGAATTTGTAAGTATTGAACTACTGACATTGAAATTGAATTTATTGGAATATTTAATATATTCTAACTTTATTATTGTGAGGTGTCAAAATTATTGTTATACTATTATTATTATACGTAAAGTAGTCACAAGAACTCATTACAATGCTAAATATTGAATTTTGCACCAACCAATTTTTATTTTACCACTAAGTAAGAACCCTATTATGTAATTCTAATCTTCATAATATACATTCATGAAATCATGAATTAAGATAGAACAACTCTGAACTATAAAATTTCTAATTCAATAACCAAATAACCTGGTTTGTGATTTATTTTTGATATTGTTTATTCTTTTATCTTATGATTTATTTTTAATTTTGATTTGAGATTATTTTCTTTTTTTTTTTTTGTGAAAATATACATTATATATTAAGTATAGTTTTTTTAAGGACTTATTTATAAGTAACAAGCATATGATAGATGAAAATAATTCATTGGGTGGTAACTGATAATCTTATTTGATACCTTATTTGCTAATATCAATATTTGAATCATAATTTATTTTATTCATATTTATTTTGAAATTATATACATAAAGGTTTTTCTTAATTAAATTTTTTTATTTCTAATTTAATACACTTTTTTTACAACCTTAGACTGATACCTCAATGTTTTATGTTTTCCATATTATTTTATTTTTTATATTTTAAAGAAAAATCCTGTAAGTTTCAACCAAGTGACTCAGCCACAAATTGGAAAATCTAAGACTTCATAATATTATATTAAATATTTACATAATAATTTCAATCAAGGAAAATTTTACTTACATTGACCATCATTGGTTGATTTAATGACAGTACATATTGAAACCAAGTTACTAATTGACCACGATTAGCAGCATCAGCTATATGCTCACACATGTATTCAATACAGAGTACGATAAGATCCTAGATTAAATATATAAGACAAATTATTGTTTTTATATTTAATAAATTTTATGAAATATTATTTACCTTGACATCATATTTATCAGCTAACACCAACATTGGCATAATAATACTATGTTCAAGTAGCATTTCACCTGTATAAAAATATTGAAGAAAAAGTGGAAATACATTGATACATGTTTGAACTTCATGTAATTCAATGACATCTTGGTGTGAATCACTCCATTTAGAATTCATCAACATGGTCTATAAATAAATTAAATTATTTAATTAAATTAAATTATTTAAAAAAAAAAAAAACATATTAAAATCACCTCAAATACTTTGCTAGATATACCCAACATAAAGCGATGTGCAGGATATGACACTCCTCCCACCACAAGAGTAATATCAGTTAATAGTTTGTTGACATATGCATTTTGAATATTTTGCAGAAGAGCATTAGAATCGTAATTCTAAACATTATCAAAATAAACACTTTTTGTCTTTCTTAAGAATATGAAGATAACTTACATCATTAGGCATAGCATATGAATGATCCATTTCATACTCAAACGACATTCTTCGACGCTTCATTCCCAAAGACTTACTAAAATAAATATGCAAAATATGCAATATTCTATAATAGGATTAATAAAATATAAAAGAAATTAATACATAATAATTTTTCAATCAAAAATGAGAAATTCTAATCTACAAATTATACAGAAATAAACAAATAAATACAGGAATACACCACTGATTGTGCGTATGCCCTAGATATAAATGATAAAGATTTATTAATATTTTATGCGATAAATTTGAATTTTAAACAATTTGGTATCAAACAGGTTACTTTTAAGTTATTACCTACAAAAATGCCATGACTATTAAACAAAATCAAATATAGTCAGGCCCGTATTTACAAAAAATTGTCCTCAATAAATGTACACTTAATTTACTCTTAAGAGCGCGTAACACTCACATATTTTCCGTAAAAATACATGTTCCAGTAGAATAGCTCTCATTTGGGTTACAATAGTCGTACAATTATAAAATTTTGCAAACATAAGTACCGTCAAATGGGATGAATAGAAACAAAAAGTGATAAAGTTATATTCGGTCTTGTAGTTTTTAGGAAAATTGGTTTAGAACACTTTTTTTTTATCATACTCAAGTGTACGTAAGCGACATTACACCTAATCTGTTATTTAGTTAAAATTATTTACTAATGCATTGATAACACAGTGATCTAAAACACAAGTTTGTTATCAGTTCTAATACATGATAATACACATATTTTTTTCTGTATGATAAGACTGATCTATTATATTTGATTATTATTATTTATTTTTTTTTAATGTCCGTTGAATTCTTCAATTTAATAATTCGTAAGTATACATTTTTTATTTATTACAAGTTATATTTTATTAATTTATAATTAAAAAAATTGTTTTTTTGGGGTGTATAGAAACAACGTAAAAATGACACGAACTTATCAACATGATCCTCGAAGCAAAAAGTATATGAAACCAAATCAAAATGATCTCAAAAATGCTATTATGGCAATTAAAAGTAAACAAAGTAGCATACCGGGAAGCTCAGGAAATATATGGCATACATTATTCTGTACTCTACCGTCTGTTAAATTTATTATATTTAAGTTACAGTTTATGTTATATTCTTACCAGTTTATATTTGTTTAATTGTGTAGGTATTAAATTGTTTGCACCTAATTCTTAGTTCTTAATTGTAATTCTAAGACTGAACAGAAAAGTATCTGTGTTATATTGTTTAATTGCATCAAATGCATACTTATTGTTATATTTAACGTATTGTATTTACCTACAGTAAAGAAACTGTGATAAATGAACAGAAAAGTATCTGTGTTAAATTGTTTAATTGTATCAAATGCATACTTATTGTTATATTGTAACCTATAGTATTTACCTACAGTAAAGAAACTGTGATAAGTGAACAGAAATATATTTATATATATATAAATATAAATATATATATATTTAGGTACATATTATGTACCAATATATAAAACATAGAAACTGTATTAAAACATAATTTGATTTGTATTTATTGAATTAATACTAATTCAAATATAATACCTATAAAAATAAATATATCACAATTAAATAAACGATCAATATCGATAATTTACGATCAACTTTACTTGACTTAATTAATGTGATAAATTATAATTGATAATAATATATTATAATATAGGTAAAATAGGTAGGTATTTATATTGATAGTAAATAGTAATTAATATTTTTTTAATTATTTATTATAAATACAATATTTTATACTTAAATATACATAGGCATAACACATTTTATACAATACCTATATCCAATAACCTAATCTATAGTTTGATTTGCATTTATAGACTAATAACCCAAAATAATTTTATCATGTAAAAATTAGCCTTTTGTAAAAACGCATTTAATTTTTTTGTTCTTATAATATGCTACAAAAATTAAACATTTTTACATTTTTGATTTCTAAATTATTTGCAAATTTTTGTTATTTTGACTTAAAATATAGAAATTTGTTAATTTTTGTAACAGAATACTTGTAAAATAAAATTGTCCATATGTATTTAACACATTTTTAATTCTTTTATGAACAACTAATAATTAATTGAATTTAAACAAACAACAAGTCAAAAAGAATATATTTAATTTTATAGGTACATAGTTGATATTAGATATTTTATAATTATTATAATGTACGTACACTATAATGCATATATTATGAATTATGATAATAATATAAATAATAGTATATAGCATAACGCGCATAACAGTATAATACATAAATAAATTATATAACATTTTATAACTTTTTGAGTTTACTATTTATATTTTCCAATATATGTGGAGGTTCTTTTATATCATCTAAAAGTAACCGTTTGCCGTATTGCGGGTTTATTATTTCTGGCAATAAACAATGCATATAGAAACTAAAAAAAAAATTAAATAATATTTACCTATTATTACTTATTTTCTACTTATTGCGGTATTTAAAAATAATATAAATATTTCTCACGTTTCTAATTTTTTAACCAATTTTTGTGACCAAAATGTATCATCGTATACAATTTTTTGAATTTCAGTCCAATTAGAGGAGTGTACAACAAAATAACAAATTTTTTTCTGTCAAATGTGCATTTGGCCTTGCACTTGAAAATAATAAAGGCTATCAGGTTTTAATTGCATTATATTTTCTACGATTCGGCAATAAGTTAGCTAAATGTTTACATACAATAATTGTATAAATTACTTGATTAAATTCAGCTATATTCCCCATTCGCTTGGGAACCTTGCTGGGAAAATATTTCTGTTTTTTATCTTTTCGCCAACCACTGTTCATGATTTTGAATGTAAATAACAACACAAAAAAATAGCGTATGTGATATGGAACACAGACTCGATTCAAACGAACACGTTTTTAAAACAATATATACGCACGTTTAGTCATTTGGAACACTGAATAAAAATATTTTATTGTTTATTTCATAATGATAATACAATTTATGATATACTGTATTGTAAGTCAATGGCTATAAATTGCAACATATAAACTGTTGTTCCTGTAAATAATATTATCGGAAACTACTATCTGTAAATGTATTATTAAGTATTCGTCGCGGTGTAGTATGTGGCGGCTGCGCCGCGTCTAACATTTTCGCACGCGCATGCACATGTCAAAAAATAAAAATACGACCGTATACCAATTTGCTTTTTGAACAGAAATATGCTTCCATTGTGACAAGATTAAGAGACTTGGGCTGGTTCCATTTCAATTCTGTAAAAGCCTCCAGATTGCATGATATCTTATCTAGATCTTGATCGAGGCATTTTTCGTAATATGAAAGTATGACTTTGGTATGATAAAAACAAAATTTCCAAATTTAAAAACTTTTACTTGGGGATAACTAAAGCCGGGTTTACATTGGTAGAGTATTTGGTATAGTACGACGGTAGAGTGAGTATTCTACCGTTTCTAGCATAATGTAAACACTCAGGAATAGTATAGGTAGAGTACTAAAGATAGTAATCGGTATAGTAGAGTAGTTAACCACTGTGGTAAAGTACACTCTACTCGCTTTTACCCCCACCACCGTTTTTACTGTACTCTACCACCACTCTACTGGTGTAAACAGTCTAATTTTGGTATAGTAAAAGAAAATATTGTTGATATCGCCTGAACCGGCACGTGTATTCATATTTATTTTTAAACTTTGTATACATTTTTAATTTTGTTTAATGTTTTTAAACCTTATAATATAATATAACTATTCTACATTTCTGATCGTATATTGTATTATATCATTTTATTTCATTATAAAAGTGGTTTTAATAATTTTTAAAAATGAAGTGGTCTGAAAGTGACACGATAGCGCTGGTGGGTCGTTTACTAACGCAGTTGTAACCACTCGAAGGCATTTCTTTAATAATTTTCGACAATGACGACGACGTACGATATCCATATTTGTTATTTGATATTTTGAAGTTGATCAAACCTAACCGTGACGGCGTGAGTTTACACATCAACTGCACTCTCTTCTACTAAATACTAGCTTCGTGTAAACAGTTAATCTACTAAAATTAGTAGAGTAGAGCGAGTAGGCAAAATAGTAGGCTAGTGTACTCTACCAAATACTCTACCAATGTAAACCCGGCTTAAGGCAGAAATTCATATTTTGAATAATGACTCGATCAAAATCTAGGAAAGATGTCAAGAAATCTTGAAAATTTTACAGAGTTGAAATCGGATCAACCAAAGTTTGACAATTTTGTCACAGCATCATAGGCACACATTCAGTCTCAAACTTGGGGGTGCTAAAATTATAAACTCCAAAATGACCCAAAGGGGCCTTCCCCCCACACCAACCTTATATAAAATTTTTTTATTAAAAAATAAAATTTAAAATTACAAAACTAAAGAAAATAAAGATAATGAGATCCAATTTTCAATCAAAAATCTTTTATTATTAAATATATTAACAATACTAGTTAACTCCTTAATAATATGATAATTATAACAATTTTTTAATCATTCGTACATTATATATAATTTAATTAAAATAGATATGACAATATATATTAAATAATAATAATAATGCAATTAATAAACTAATATTATTTATAACATAGAAAAAAAGAAAGACACTAAATAATAATTTATATTAAATTTATTCTCCTAGATTTTTGCACAAATTTATCAATGATATTTTCGTTATTAGTGTGATTAGACAGTTCTCTTTTTATATATAAAGATGACAGATTGGTAAATTTAGTCTGCACCATACTGGTACGTAACCAATTTTTGATCCGACGCATCAATGAAAATGACCTTTCGCAGATTGCTGAAGAAACTGGTATAGTTATAGCAACTTGGATTAATTTATAAACATTTGGATATACATTTGGATTACAAGCACACATGAGATCTTCCAGCAAATAATTGTCACTAAGACTATTTTTTAGGACCATCATTTCCGCTTTCAAACTTTCATATGAAATTCCTAAAACATCCTGAAAATTAGAAATGCACAAAAAAACCCCATTATATCATCTGTATTAACTAAAAAATAACATTATTATTACACCAACAAACCTTATATCTGTTAATAAAGGTTAAACTTTTATTTATATTTAAAGTATAACAATTATCTATAGATATAGCCAATTCTAGACTTTCATTTGAAAATCTTTTATTTAGATTTGATATAACTTCATCAATAATTCTGAAGTATACAGTTCTTCGCCAATAAATGTTAACAGATGTACTTAAATCATCAACTTCACATACTACCCCTGTAGAAGTATTCAAAGCAAAGTCTTGAAGTATTACAGGTTCTCTTCTTTTACGTTTTTGACTATACACTTTAAACAAAATAAAATAAAAAAAGACAAAATTAGTGTAACATAATAAAATTATTATAGTTTAGAACTAAAAATAGTGATATTAATTTAATAATTTTTAAGTTACAATTAACCACTTCCTGTAGACAGCATTGTTAATACTATATCATTTTCATTACAAAAATCTTTTATTTTATTCCACAATATACAATATGCATCATTGGAACGTAAATTATTAAAAGACAATATGACACTTTTTATGACATTTACAGATTTACCTAATGTAGCCGATTTGCTTTGAAGCTGATGATTTAACACATTTATAATTGATAACACTTCATAAAGAATAAATACAACTATAATGAAATCACTTTTTTGTATTGAATTTAACCTAAAACAATAGTTAATTTCAGAATTTAATGTTAAATTTTTTATGAACCATATATTATATTTTCTATACAATACCTATTGCTTGAGCTACATCTTTGTTATACTGATCTTCAATTTCTTTTTGGAGTACAGCAACAATTGCTTTATAATTATTAATAATTACTTCACAATTTTTATACCGACAAATCCAACGTGTATTACAAATCCGCATTACTTGACCTTTTTTAAGACCAAGTTGTTTTTGGATTTCAAGTAATTCAGTGTTTTTAGATGGTTCAGAAAAGTGAACATATGTAGCTTCTAATATATTGAATACATTTTGTGCAATCTATAAATAAAACATTATTCGTTGACAATAGTTAATAATCTCTTAGATTTTAAAATAAATTACCTTTATTGCTTTGCATAAATCTAAAACAACTAAATTAAGACGATGTGCCATACAGTGTATATATATGGCTGCTGGATATTGTTTCTGCACTTTAGCTTGGACTCCATTTAGATGTCCAGACATAACACTTGCCCCATCGTAAGATTGAACAACTATATGAATGATTTCCACATTTATATTTTGTTCTTCAAAGAAATTCAGTATAGCCGAATAAATTTGTGTGGAATTTCGGCCTTTGGAAATATCAATAAAACCCAAATCTTTCGAAAACTTTGAATTCCACAGCATATCGTACACATACTGAGAGCTTTTCTTCTTAATAACTCCTAGGATCATAATTAGTTATTACCCAACTATTTTGTTTTAAAATTTTTTCTTTAATTTATAAAATAAACATGTAGGTACTATACAGCTATTAATTATTATTCATTAGGTTAATTTATTATTAATAAAACACTAGGTAACCTAGCTTCATCACACATAATAGCAAGGAAACCAATGGCTGATATTTCATTAAGAATGGTATCCTTAATGGAACTGGCACAAATATCAACAAGTTCGTTTTGAATCCTCCAACTTCTATAATTTGTATCTTTAAAGTACATATTTTCAAAATCTGATACAGATTTAACATACAACGTACATAACTCTTTAAAATGTCCTAAAGCGCAAAGTATTTTTAGTAACAATTTTATGTTTATACACATTAAATAAGATTGTAATATACTAATATGCATTTTTTTTTTTAAACTGCTATGTAAATGTGTTATGTTAATGTATATTACAATTAAATTGTTATAGTAAAATGTACAATATTAAATTTAAGTTGAACATAATTTCAAAATTATTTTTTTTCTAACACATTTTTTAAAATTTATTAAGTTTAAAGTTAGAACTTTTAAGAATCATTGATGTTATTACTAGCTCAATTGAAATAACCAATGCCTTATAATAATGTCACAGGGAACTAAGTTTTCAAAAATAAAGTGTACTTCATTTTAACATTATATTATTTGAAATATATAGAATATACCTTGATTGATTGATTCTCATTCATCATTCTTCGATCATCATTCTCATTATGGCCTCTAAAGGCAACACCTTGTTTCCCTAAAACAAAACTATGTCAATTAAATGAGAAATGTACAGACGATTTTTCTTTATTTGTTCTTTGTGTGCAGAAGACAATTGAGCAACTACAGATCCTTTTATTTTACTTGAATGAAAAGAAGATAACTTGGTAACACATGTAACATGGCTAAGTGAAGTATGGTATTTTTTTAATCGGCTACACAGCTACAAAACAATTATAACAATACTTTAATAAATATAAAATAATAATAATTAGTATGTTTATAAAAAATAAAGGCAACAATTTATGTTTAGGTTTTTTTTTAGGTAGGTATATATTGTATAACTTATAATTTTCAATAAGAAATAATATAATCTTTCTAAACTGTACTGTACTGAAGAAATTTAATTTTAAATTATTAATTTATATTAATTAATTTCATTAATTTAAATTAATTTTTATAAATGTTTGACTTATAAATATTTTTAAAATATTTCCTTACTTTATTTTAAAATACATTAATAAGTCAAATAAATGTATAAAATCTTATATGTATGTCCATTATTATTTGTTATTTCTAATTAATTAATTTACTTATTCTATTATTTTTGATTCTTAAAAAGTTTTAACTATATAAGTCAGAGTTTTAAAATCAAACTGTTCACCCGTCATATTTAAATTTAACTTTCACTTTTATATAATAAAAAAGTTTATAAAATTTAAAAATTAGATTAAAATACCTAACATAATAGATGCATTAATAAAATTTAGCTTATTTAGCTTACCTTTTGCCAGTTAATGAATCCATTTCTAGTCCAAGTATCTTCACCACCACCAAACATTCTACAAGGGAAACAGAATGCTGCATTTTTTTTTAAACTGTACTCTAACCACTGGTATTCCTTAAAGTAATCACTACTAAATGATCTATTTTGTTGACCAAATTGTGTTCTGGGATATATCTAGTTAACATTTAATTAATGAAAAATAAAATTTAATTGCTAAAAATATATATAATATAAATATTGATGACAAACCGATAGCTTATTCTGTCTAGGACCAGTCTCCAATTTACCCAAGTCAATAACGGGAAATTCTAAAGTGGTATTCTATACAAATATTTTATATCAGATTAAATACATACAACATTTTTTTTTAACCTAAATACTTATGGGCTTATGGTAACAATACACTTTAGTATTCATGCATGTTTTAAATATTTTTTAAAGTGAAATATGTGCATAGTTAAATAACTACATTTGTTCCATTTAATACTATGGATTTTTTTACTAAAATATATTAGACTATTATAATAAAACAGAACTCAACAATCATCGTATTGTACTTACGACTTTTACATTCTTCGATGATGTAGGAATACAATCAGGATCGTCCACATCTTCACTATTTTCATCTGATTTTTTTACTATACTAGTTTTTTTACATTTAAATATACTGAACATATTTAAATTAAAATGTATAATATAATATATACGCTAATAAACGTGTTATAAATCACTTAATCACATACACAGAGGACTTTTAATTATTGCATTATTATATAATATATCAAGGAACTGCCTATTGGTATGTTTACACGAGAAACGAATGAAATCTACGAATTTGCTCTATAATAATTATTATTAAAATTATCGAACTAAATGATAATAATAAATATCTTTATTTTTATGTCAATAAGCCATAATAGTGGTAAACAGCAAACCGAACAAGATCATACTCAGTATTCCAGCTATAAGTGCTAAAAATAAGCCTTGATTTGAAATGCCCTAACGACCAAAGATCGTTATCACATGCGTTATAAATAGTTAATTGGATAAACCCAAGTCTTAATACCTAATACAAGAAACTCCTATTTCTATGAAATCATTACAAATCTTTTAAGCCGTGGTTTCCTACAACCACGCAAACGTGATTGTGTGGTGCGCGATGCGTGATAACGCAAAAGTTGAAACCATGAAAAATAGTATTGATGTTTATTAATAATTCACGCGCGCAATTGTTGAATCACGCACGTCAATATTAAATAAAAAAAAATGTTTAATAATCAAATTGTATCTTATAAAATTTTAATTTTAATTTTTATAATAACATTTTTCATATATAACTCCAATGGAATACAACCAGTTGAATATCCATTTATTAAAATAGGTCAAATTTTCTTTATCATATATTTTATATATTTCTTTATTAATTTTTAAATAATACAATTTTGAGATAACATATTAAAATAATTAATATTTATTAGTTAATTTATTTAAATAAAATAGTTATTTTGAGGATAAAATATAGAAAATATTGATTCTATTAACTTTTTACTAAAATTAATGACATAAATTAAATAATTTAAAATAAATAAAAATAAAAATAAAGATAAAATTTAATATATAATATATCATAACGAAAACGATGTAAAAATCACGTCACTAAAAATATAAAAAATTTAATCAAAAAATAAAATATAAATTTATTAAATATTATACCAAAAAAATATTTTACATATTAATAATCCTATAAAAGTAATTCTTAAATTTTCAGTTATAAAAATAAAAATAAACTATATACTACTTAATTCAATAATAAAACTAATAACAGAAACTAATTCAGATTTTCATTCAGAAAACTTAAAAGGAGATTGATTAATTTCATCTAAAAATCTAATTATTATAATATTATAATAAAAACAAAAAAAAATAATATTTATTTGATATGTATAAAAATTATTTAAATTAAATCTATTAACTATAAATATTCAATTTATAACAATAATTATTATTCTTACTTCATGTGAAATTATTTGAGAAATAAAACAAATTATACCTAAATATATAAACTAATTATAATTTTAATTTATATAATTAAATTCTATATTCAACCCTATACATTCTATATCTGCCAAAATAACTTAACATTAATTGTATTCATTAAAATAAGCATTTTAACTATTAAATCTTTTCGTACTACAATAATTAAAAATTTAAAATATAGAAACCAACACTTACACCGGTTGAACTCATATCATGTAAGAAATTAAAAATCGAAAATATCTAATATTTAAAATGTTACCAACATTCATAATTTCAATTATATTATTTAAAAAAAAAAAAAACAACAATAAAACCCAAAATCAATTCCACTAGGCCACAAATTGCAGGAACGGTTGCAACAAGGACCAGTGCAGTTTCGCAATAAGTTCAACGGTGTTCGAACATATAAAAATGGATGAAAACCACTCCACGTGTAACACGATATAAAAAAATAACTGTTTTTACTACGCGTAACACGTGTAAGGTTTTTAAATGCGAACATCTGCGCGTTTTACGCGAGTGTTTATTTTATTTTTTTTTCATCGAATTTCATACCGATGAAACGCCGGTCTACAGGTAAAAAAGTTCAATGTATAATCAGGCCCGTAGCCACGGGGGGCAAAGGGGGGGTGTTGCCCCCCCTAGACTGGTTGTTGCCCCCCCCCCCAACAAACGTTAATAATGTCATGACATTTAGTAGTTAGCATGAATGTAGATAGTAGGTTTTTACTATCTACAGCCGTGGTAGTTAAATATAATATAATTTATTGCTTGATAATAATTTCATCGGCAGTAGAAGCACTGTTTAATATAAGAAATTATTTTTAGCAATATTGTATAGCATTTGCACTGGAAAATACGATGGCATCTGATTGATGTCTGATGACAACACCGAACAATAAGTATAACCATTGATCATAGAATAGAATAGAATAGAATATTCTATAATCAATGGTATAATATATCGAACCGATAACATTCACCATTTCATTAGATCCTAAAATTCTAAATTTGGATGTATTATTAATGGAACTCAACAAGCAAAAAGATAGAAAATTACAACTGTTTCAGTTTAAAAAAAAAACTGGTAAATTCAAAAAATAATATATTATAAAAATATTCAAAATGTAATTATGTTCACTTTATTCTAATTCTTATTATTTTAATTTAGAGTACCTATTATAAAAATTACAGTATTAATAAATTAAAAATAGCATTAATATTGATTTTTTTCTAATGCCCCGCTACAATTTTGTCTGCCCCACCTGAAGATTTGGCCTGGCTACGGGCCTGTGTATAATACCGACCGCGGCGAGCGGTACGTCACGAACGATTCGCGTTCCACGGGCCTACTGGAACGCGACGCGCGCGCGGTTACCATAGGGACATCGACTCAACGGCGCCGCCGGGTCATGCCGAAAAATACGTGTACGGAACGTCGCGGTGCCGTTACGGTGAACGCGTCCGGGTGAGACGTACCGTCCAGGGGAGACCGTGTACAAGGCGTCGATCTCGCGCCAAGGAGACCGTTTCCCGTGTACAGGTGCGGTAAGGGTTCGCGACAGGATACCGTTTCGATACAGGATACCGCGCGCGTTTCGTCCCGGTTAGTGTGTCTGGCGGTCGAACGTTTTTTTCCTTCGTCGGTTTCGCCGGGCTCGCGCGTGCGCGTCTTACGCGAATATTGTACCCTTCCTGCGCGAAACCACTTATTTAGCTGACCCTTCGACGAGAACAAAACCCTTCGCTCGACCGTCGCAGCAACCCACCGTCGCTGTCGTCCACTGATTTTCGTGTGGCGGCGTACGTGTTTACTCCGATTTCGACGATCTCAGTTCCAGTCGTACTTACCTCACCTGACCGTCGGTTGACGACGACGCGCAGTGGTTTTTTTTTCTAACTGTAATCTATTTTTTTCACAGCGAAAATAATGTTAACGCGCAAAGAAGAACTGTTTGTCAAGCCTTTCCAGCAGCGGTTATACCAACAGCACAGAGTCAAAGTTAGTATTTCACGCGATACCACTACCGCTGCACCGTTCGCGCGTGTTTTTTAAAAACATTTTCATAAACTTTTTGGTAACACGTTAACTGCAACGTTCTTGAATAAACATTTCAATATTCCTTCGGTTTAGAATATAATTAATCGCGAACAACACCTTGCTTAAAAAAAACTGCAGGTTTTATTCATTTTTTTTTTTCACTTTTTCACTAATGTCATGTGTTCATTTGTGATGTGTGCCAACACGAGTAACGTTTCAAAAGTTTATATCAGTGTCATCACGAAGTAACTACACCATTCTTGCGAGTGCATACCTCGCTATTGCTCACTGATTCCAAGTCTTGTACGCAGTGCCGGATTAAACATTTGTGGGCCCCTAGGCAATTACAATTTTGGGCCCTATAAAATTATTTTTTACATATATCTTTAACATTACTATCCATAATAATAATAATAATAATCATCAATAATAAATAATCCGTAATAATTAAAGTAAATAGCTTTAATAACAACTAAATATTATTAATAAATATAATTTATTTGCAAGAAAAATTAATCTGTTATTATAATATTTCTATTTTTTTTCAAAATAATTGTATTATTATCAATGCGTATAACACCTAAAACTTAATATATATTTTATATTTCATAACGACTTTTTTTCCGTAAAAAAATAGATTTCCGTTTTCACAGGACCCCTTTAAACGAGTGAGGCCCTAAAACGGGCGCCTAATCCACCTAATGGGTAATTCGGCACTGCTTGTACATCAAACGCAAACGTAAATACATTTCTTATTGCCAAAAACGTATTCTACGTAATGTTTTCATATTTTCATTCCGTTTCACTTCGCTTTAATTATAATATATAGTAGTGATCGGCATTTGGTGGCCCGCATTAAATTCTAAAACTAAGAAATTTCATTGAATATTAATATTTTGTATTGTCTGGCTCGTGAACCCTTTTTTAATTCGTGAATATGGCCCAAGGATCCAAAACGGTTGCCGACCACTGATACATAGTAGTGTGATAATATATAATAGTTTATATATATATATATATATACATATATACAGTGCTCGAATTAGGAAAAATTAAATAGAGGAGCTCAGACCAACAATTTAGAAACTGTGTTTCACGTGCGCAATTATTTAACACAGACTCGTAGGAGTCTTCGCCCCCCCCCCCACACTCTTTCACCAACCTTACATATACTTTGAATACCGCTTTTCAACTACACAAATATTAATATCCATAATATTATTAACAAACCATTCAACAAATAAAGTATATACCAAAATTGTATCTGTGTATACCAGACATTACTATTTATATTTTTCCTGAAATGATTACGCCGTCACTTATCATAATCACAATATAATATTTTATTATAAAAATGTATTTTCTTATGTACCTATATAAGGTACTAAGCGTAAGTATAATTATATTTACCACACATTCTAATTAATTTTCAACTAATCAGGAGTGTATCCAGGAATTTTTTATGGAGGGATCCAAAATTTTATTTTATCTGATAATGGGAAATAAAAATACACTATATACTATTAAATCATTGAGTATGTAGAAATTTCAATAGAGGGTCCGCACCCGAAAACCCCCCTTGGGTACGCCCTTGCAACTACTTATATATTTTGTATGTTGCTAAGCGCGGGTTACCAGATCGACGCGTACTGTGTGTCTGTATAGCACGGTTCTATCTATAACCGTGGTGCGTATTCGCTATTCGACGGAATGTAATTTCGGCTAACATAGGCTGAGTACTGATAAGTGATAATTAAAGACCGGATTTATATATTTTTATATGTGGTTACTAGGTCTATGCAGTCTTGTGAGTGTAAAAAATGTGGACGATTCGTTCGATTCTGAGTTCGTAGAAAAAAGTATTTTTTGCATATTTGAGAGTATTTCATAGGTTGAAGAATATTTAGCCCGCTTAGCACATTTTAGAATATTCGACTTTGGTCTCATCGTTGGTGATTGTACAAACTATTATCTGCGAACTAACCGGTGTGCCGAGTAAAAAGGATAACATAATAAAAACTAAAGTGTCTCAATTATGTCAAAAAAATAAAGGTTACCAAATGTTAGTAAAAGTTGGGAACATTTTATGTGGAAACAATGGAGATCTCCCGGAACATTTTACACCCGGCGTAGTTGCTGACATGAAGTTAGCACCTTTAACATCTATTACATTTTTTTTAAGTTTAAGTTTAGTCTCTATGAACACATTTTAAGCGATAGAAGAACTATTATTGTTAATTTATATAACATTTAAATTCTATTTCAAGTTTCTTTTTTATTCTTCAAAGATTAAATATTTACTATTATATATACCAAAAGAATATTGTTCTTTTCTATTTATATATGTATATACCTAAATTGTTATTTTATATTATTCTATATTAAATAATTTTTATATAAGGATTATCTTTTGTTTCATAATTTGTTTTGTTTTATTATGATTTATATATATATATATATATTACTAGCTGAATAACCCGGCTTTGACCGTATGCAGTTTTTTGTTACTTACATATAACTTTTTATTTTATCAGTTTTATACATGTTATCGATGAAATGTATGATCATAGTCATTAATATATATCCCAGACATATCAAATATTAGTGATCTCATTAAATATATTATTATATTAACTTTAACAAACGGTAGGTATAATAAACAACGTAACTGTAATATCTATATGATACAGTTTTAATATATAATAAAATTTAAATAGTATTTCAAATTTCTTTTTTATTCTTCAAAAAGTAAATATTTACCATTGTATGCACCAAAGGAATATTGTTTTTATATATATTGTTATTTTATATCTTGTATTGAATTATTATTATTTAAGGATTAACTTTTATTAAATAATTGTTTTTGTTTTATTATATTTTATGATTATTTGTTATTTTTTCATATTGTGACTATAGTATTATACAACATTTAATTAAAATATATCAAAGGAATATTGTTTTTACATTTTAATACTATAGACTAAACTGTTATATTTTTATTATATTCCTACACTTACTGAAGAACAGTAGTATTCCATTAGAATACGTAAGTACGTATATACCTCACGATTAAAAAAATGTTGTAAAAATAAAACTGTAAAAGTGCATATTAAAGCATATACTGATGTTTGTTGATTATTTTTGTATAATTTCAAATATTTTTGCATATTTTTAAGATTTTTAATAATAAGAATATTTGAAGGTTTTTTTGAGAATATTAGCAAAATATTTAATGTTTTTTAAGAGAATATAAATCCGGTCATTTGTGATAACACTAGTGAAGCTCAACATGTTAATAAACGAATATCAAAAATAGTTTTGATATTATAATTCGTAGTAAAATTTACGTAAATTGAATTCCACATTTTAATAAAAAATATTTTGGACATTAGTTAAGTGGCGTTCCCCCGTTCCAGTAAAAAATATGGTTGGGGTACACAAAAAAAAATAAATAATAGATGAGTTCCGTCCCTAACACCCACCCCCTCCCCATTTCGAGCACTGTATATATATATAAATAAATATTCAGGAGTGCAGTGCCGACGCTATGATTTGCAAGACTCCATGCAAATCATAAACGTGAGGCTATGGATCTGAATACGAATTATTATATTGTTAGATTGGTACATAATTAAAATATTTCATCATTGTATGGTTAATATTTAATTAGAAAATATTTTTTTTAATTTCATTTTTATTAAATATTTTATATTTTTATTAGTCAATTGTTCATTATAGACATATAATAATATAAATTACATATTCTAAGCTTATTCTTCTATAGGTTATTGAATAAAAAATAAAAAATAATTAAAATTAATCGTAACATTTAAAAAATTTTTTTTAAACTGATTAATGAGAAAAAAATACAAAAGGGTGACTAAATAAAAATCGTTAAGATTAAAAACTAACTGAACTAATCGAAAGTAGCAAAAATATGGAAAAAAATCAACATTAGAATCTACACGACTTCACATAACAAAAGTCCACATTTCGAATCAAAATAACTCTAGGTGAATTCTAGAAAAATATGCGTTTGCATAAAAATCCGGACCTTACTTATTCCTATATTTTATTTATTTTAACACTACCCACTATAATATAGTAATTAATTTAATGAAAGTAATATTATTCATATATTATTTATAATAATTAAATAAGACTCACCAATGTTTCTTAATCATCAATTAAAAATACGAAAACGGCAACTGTCTAACATTCCATATTCGTTTAACAGAATAATAATCACCAAAGTTCAGATTTTATAGCATTTGCTACTTATTATAGGGTAAAGATAAAGATAGCAGAGTGAGCTATTAATTTGTGTTATGAGACTCCAAATTAGAAATTTAATTTTGCTATTTTTTGCATATTTGAAGTATTTTAGAATTTTAGTGCTATTTTTGAAGTTTTAGTGATATTTTTTGCTAATATACATGATTTTATTCTTTATTTTGTATTTTTTATAAATCTAGTTTATATTGAATGAAAAATAGTATTCATTTAGGTGAATCCAAAAATTCCCACATTTTTGTTTCATATTGATAATTGATAAATAATATGGAATTTACAATTTAACATGTTACTAGAATCTATTTTTAAGTAGCCTGGCGATATCAAATATATTTATACATTTATGCCGTCCTATCTGTTTTATTTATTTTTATTTTATTATTATTCTACAGTATATTGTCGTCTATCATACGTATTTCATGCTTTCAGTGTCAGTTCTCCGTATTGTTTGATTTCGTTTCATATTCGTTTATTAATCGATTGTGTATTATTTGTTCGTTTTTTTGTTTCGATACTTAACGTGAAATTCCGAAAATTAAAACATTGAACATTATTAATATTTGATTTAAGCCCTGGTCCAACTTAGTGAAAAATCAAATAAAACACAAGCGAAACTTTCAAAACACAGATATATGTTGAAAAAGAACTACTAAGTTTAAAAACTAATAACTAAAATGTCCATTTTAAGTGGATCCGGCATTAGATTAAAAAAAAAAAAAAACCACAAATAATAAGGATTCGCCTGATTTAAATATTACCAAAAATTTTACATGTAAATTTTGAGCCTGAATTAAAGAAAAAATTTGATTTACCCCCCCCCCCCCCCCTAGAAGTAAGTCTAAATATGCCCTTGCGAACAGAGACTTGACTGTTTGAGACAAATCGGTACGGTTGTTAACAACATTTCCAATTATATTCCAATATAATTTAATGAAAGAAAAATTCACAAAAATAAAGTTCATTTAAAGATATCCATAGTTAAGAGTTATTATCAAAAAGTGTTTCTATTCACCCATCAGTTTCTATTCAACCGGTTTTACGGTACTCTGTAAATTTTTCTAGTCACTACAAGTCACTACTATTTTATACATACAGAATATGTAGCCAAATATCTAATATCGTATAGTTGAAATTCGTAAAATATCCTATTTCGTCAAAATTATTAATTTTCTCGCGTTCATATAACTTTTTTGCGACAGTGTGATAAAAAAGTTTTTAATGTTGTTAAGCTCAAGTCGGCCGCCGCGCGAATAGACACGACGCCACCGCGGGAATGGCAACACATCGTACTCAAGGAGAAGAAGTTCCAAAAAGAACGGGAGCGGTGCACACAGATATTGCTGAACAACGGCGTTTTGTGGAAACATCTGTCTGAGATCATGACTACCAGACGAGTGGACAACCGTTGGGATCGCGAGCAACCCAAGTACCTACCAACTAGACATGGGCTTGATATTTTTGTCACATACAAAATCCGGAATCGTACATTTCGCGATGTGTAAAGTGATTTTTGTACAGTTCACGATGTGTAAAGTGATTTTTGTACACATCGCGAACTGTACAACATTGCTGTACAAAGTAACTCGGTGCATTTTTTAAACTAGTTAACAAGGCGACACAAATGTGGCTCAGTGATTATAATTTGCCGCCCAGTCGATAGTAACTTGAAAGACTGGTTGAAATTATGTGGAGTAAACATGAAATACTATCATCACACTGCTACACAGACTATTTTATTGAGCGAAAAATTGTTTGTGGCCCAGTGAAAATTCTTTAAAAAATTCACTGAAGTACAGGGGCGTATTTTAAAGGATAGAGATCGGGGCGATCCCCCACGAATTCGTATTTAAGGAATCGATTATACGAGTATGTGAGATACATATTACAATTTTTTTTTATGTGGATTTAACGGATGAAATGATTTAACACGTGGTTGTGAATACTGAATTGGGTTTTTTGTCGGGTCCATACTTAGTGAAAAATTAAAAAAAAAACACAAGCGTAACTTTCAAAACACATACAGGTGTCAAAAAAAACTACACAAAAGTTGATTCTAAATGGTTCCAACATTAGATTAAAAAAAAACCACAAATATTAAGGATTCCCCTGATTTAAATATTACCAAAATGATATTTGTAAATTTTGTACCTAAATTAAAGAAAAAAATTGAGTCGCCCCCTTTCGAAGTAAGTTTAAATACGCCCCTGCTGAAGCAACTAGATTTTACAAATTACTTTATACAATTCGCGATGTATACAAGAATGGCTGTACACATTGCAAAGTGTAAAAATATCTTCTAAAATTTAAATTATATCACCATTATACAGTTTTTGACATACAAATCTGTACTTTCCGTCATTACAAGATTGCATATCGATTAAATCGACCTGTCCATGTGCATTGACTTCATTAAATACCATAGGTTTAACAACTACTCCTCTCTTTTTTTAAACACTTTACACAATTATTTAAAAATAACTCAATAGCAGAACGTGACTATTTTAAAGTAACTATTTTTTAATTTATACATCACTTTACGAAGTCCACCGTACCCTGTTTCTTTACGTGGCTTTTCAAGAACATTATACATCTCATCATTATGTTAATAGTATTTAACTTCATTATTTTATGATCTATGTAATGGAAAAATTAATTTATTAACTTCTCCATGTTTAATAATGTAACGATTCAAACGTCTGTAGTCTAATGAAATATTTTTTCGATGATTAACTTCATCATTTATACATTTTTTGTAATTTTCTTCGTTAACTATGGACATTGAATTTCCATTAATTTCAATATTTTTAATTTTTTTCAACAAACATTTAAATTTAAATTATTTTCAACTGAACTCATTTTGAATGTATTATTATACTAGTCGCTTATAAACGTCGTTGAAATACTGCAGCAGCATAAAATGTAGGTACTAGTTCATACTAAAGTCTGTTTAAGTTATATTTCATAACGACAGTATCCACGATATTATTACGTTTAGATAAACGTAATAATTAGGGCTAGGGACTTCATGCCCTTATAAACCTTAAAATATGTATGCATTTATGCCCTAAATAATCAATAAATATGCTATTAAAATATGCATTTATAAAAAATTAATTAGTAATAAATTATAATAATATTTTTATATATGATAGATATGATGATCTAAGATAATTTTTCTTTTTTTCAAATTTGTTTTTATCTTATATTGAGTTTTTATCTAAAACAAAATATTTAAAATGGTTTTAAAAATAAATTAAATTGAAAACATTTTTTTTATTTTTAATATAGTTATAATTCTTCTAACCTTGAGCATTACATTGGACTATAAGATATTTTCTTAAGTTGGAAAATTTAAATAACTGCCTGTTATCAGCCAAAATATTTTTGTATTTAGAAAAGGAACGTTACACGTCTACGGAACTTATTGGTGCAAACTTAAAAAATCGTAGGTCACTACTACTAATATCTGCAGACAATCCATCTATAGATTCATTTTTCCATTTAAAATATTCGATATTTTTTGTAGTTAGCCTTAGCTTGTGCAGATTCTTCAATTTTTGCAGAATGTATACGTTTTTTGTAGTTTTAATTATTTTAATGCATTCAGTTAGTTCACCAATAAGACACTTAGAGTTCCAAGTCGCGTGATATATGAAGAAATAAATCATAATTTTTTTTTATAAAATTTAAAAACTTACTTCTCCATATGAATAATTGTCAAATTTGCATTTATAAAATGAAAAATGGTTAAATATGCACTTATAAATGAAAAATGGTCAAATATGCAAAATATACAACTATAAATTTTAAATATTAACTTGTATTGCAATGAAACAAATTTATATATTACTTAGCTATGTTTTGTATAATTATTTAAAATCATGCAAGTTACTAGAAGTCCCGAGCCCTAGTAATAATCTTTATTGCATTACCTATATCTTCACCCAGCGGTTCTTAAACTGGTACGTGTACCACTAGTGGTACACGAAAGGCTACATGGTGGTACGTGGAAGACCACATGATGGCAGAACAGAAATTCAAAATTTGATATTTAATTCATATATTAGCTTAAAAACACTAATAAATTTGTATTAATAAATAAATAATAATTTTACTGCAGTATTTTACAGCATTTTTATTTAAATTAAATGTATTTAACTATGTGAAGTTTGTATGGTTCTATTTTTAATCATTAGTGGTACGTGACCGATTGATGATTTACTCAAGTAGTACGCGAAAAAAAAGCATGAGAACCACTGCCTTAACCAATGGTCTGTGGGAAGCATAAGATATAATAATAATATAGCATAGTTACTTATTAATTACTTACTAATTCGTAAGGACTTAGGTAGGTACAACTATTTTTATACTATATATATGAATTATTTATTAGGAAAATTTGATTTCGTAATGTGCACAGTAATTGTTGTACATATTGTAAAATGTACAATTCCGGAATTTGTAACATATCGATATAAAAAAATTATATTTAAAGCATACGATAATATCGATGTATCACTGATATTTTTTTCTCTGTCCTGAGCAAACTGTATCAAAATTACTACAAAAATTAAATTACCAATTTATATTTAAAATGATCGCTGGAAAATTAATCTCTTCTCAAAAACAATTAACGATAAAAAATCCAAATGTCCACAATCCACTTTATGCCCATTTCTTTCAGACTTATTTCCCATTCTAGGTTATACACTTATAAGTTAGTCGTTAAAACATAAAACTGAAAAAAAACATTAACACACTCCTATTTATCATTACTCAATGAGAAATATTGGAATTTACAATCAAAAATAATGGTGCAATGAAATATTAAAATGTTAGGATAAATAATAGTTAACAAAAAAAATGTTGATGACAAATATCAATAATATTTCAAATATCAATATTTTCATTAAAAAAATGTTGATATCAAGAAATCAATTTATGATAAATGGATATTATTTTTATACAAGACATGCCTACAAGTACTACCTAAATGTCGAAAAATTAAAGTTTAATTAAACGTATTAAATTATACGTTTACTCTAATCTAACATAGAACTTTTTGTTCGTTTGAGAAATTTTAACCCAAACCGAACATTTTAGCTCGAAACCATGGTTAATAGATTTTCAATGAGTCAGTGTCTAAGTTTTTCAAAAATTTGAGTTTTCAGTTCTAACGGGGGAAGTAATTTCAATGCCATCTTACAATATATTATATAACTTGCTAGAAACTAAACATTAACTACACGTCCATTTATAAATTATTCAAATAAAATCATTAGACAGGAATATATGCAATGTTTTACGATTCTAAATACTTTCAACAATATTGATCGACTCTTCTCAACAGTCACCATTTTTAACCACCAAAAAATAGCAACATTTCAATTTTAAATTGCGTATAAAATATGAATTCTAAAATTGTACAATTTTATCAAACACTTTGACAATTACCAGTCAATGTTAAGAAAACCAGAAAATACATATTACTAAATTATCCAAACACATAATAACTAGATAAATTCATTAGGTTTTTTCATAGAGTTAATTTATTTACAAAAAGTAATAATAAATTGACTGTTGATATTGAAGAACCAGCTGAATCCAGTAAAGCACCAAATGAACCAAAAAATGAAAGATGCTGTGCATGTAATCCAAATTTGTCAATTTCTCAGGTGAATATAATAGAAACAATTTAAATAACAATAAAAATTTCATGATTACAATTTCAATCAGCCTAACATACCGGAGGAGAGAGTACCTTGGGATCCACCAAAAAAAAAGCTATCTAAAAAACTCAGAAGCTTATCAGTCCATAATGATAGTGTAAGTATCAATAAATAAACCATATATTATACTTAGTTAAAACAATGTATAAATGGAAGTGATTTTGTTACAGAGTATTAAAAATGTGAAACATCAAGTATTAAACAAATCTAGACAATGCCAGAAGAAAATGATAGTTTCAAAAAAACAAAACGATAACAAGCTAAACATCCGCAATAACTTGATGATTGAAACAAACAATTATTTAAATTACATTGAAATAAACGAAGGTACATTGGATCTTATTATTAAGTTTCCATCTGGTAGTAAAGTGTCAATAGCAGATGGCAAAATGAAGCGTGTACTTCAACCAAATAATTGTGAATGTACGCGATGTCTTTAAGTTATAACGCATAAAACTTTAAATTCGTAATATTATTATAATAGAGTAAATAGTATTCTAGTTAAACGTACAATATTGTCATGGTATTATTTTGATTTACAGTTATTAATATGATACTATTTTACTTTGAATAGTTTGCATACACAATAAACTTGCATTAACATTTTTGACCTATATTATGTGTTTTACATTTCAAATATTAAATAATTGTGAACTGGTATGCATATTACGTATAAAGGAAAAAATTCTAGATCGTAGATTCAATAATGATTTACTAAATACATTTAAAAAATTATCACGAATATTATATAGTAGATTTACAAGTCAAAAGAGTGAAATTGAGCTGAACTTAATACATAGTACATCAGTGAATGTTTTAAGATTAAGTTTATTAATTTATTGACTTTTTCCTATCTTTTTGTGGTCAAAAAGCAAAAAATATTTAATATTGATAGTAAAAATAGCTTATCATAAGCATAATACAGCATTTTATTTAGATAAACAAGACATTTTTTGGGCAAAGAAAATTTTTGGTAACAGAAATAATCGCAACTGACAAATAAATTAATTTGTTTTATCACATTAAAATTTCATAAGAAGGAAATAGTACAACTCAATAAATTAATAAACACGGCATGATAAAATAATGAAACATTTAATAGAACAGAAAGAAAAATTAAATGCCATTCAGGAGAAAAAAATTAATTCAGTAATTAATTATTACAATTATACTTTAAATACTTAGAATTTTTATTTATTCTACAACCTTTTTGTTAATTCACACTATCAATACCAAATATTTATTTCCACAATAATCATATTAAAAATTATAATTTATTCAATAATTACAAGTGTTGGAGAAAAAAATTGAAAAAAAAAAAAGATGATGTCAATACCAATGTAAAATAAATGTATTATGAATATCAACTAAATTATCCACATAGTGCATAAAAAGTAAACTTAAAAATATATTTATTTAATTAAATACATTTTTTAGTATGATTTTTCTTATAAAACAGCTCAATTTCTCCCTTCCTAGTCACCATGATAAAAATATTACCAAATTGTTTCATTCATCAATTTTGGAAGTTTAAATGTATAAATAATAATTGTTTATAGAATTAGAATGAATTAATTCAAGATTGATACAAAGCAACGCAATGATTTTCAAGTCATAGATACAGTATAATACCGAACGAGTGATCCATGTCAACTCAACATTCAAAAAAATTCTAAAATTTAAACTGTGTGTTTGAATTAGCCGGATTGAATTCGAAACATGACGGAGGTTGAGTGGGTGAACTTGATTCCTAAAGAAAAAAATATTATGGTCAAGTATTTATTATTACATTTCATAAAAGTTTCATAAATGTTTTACCTCTGAGAAATATCTCTCAATGATGTCAAACGCAACTTTGTAAATTTCAACACTCTCATGGTTTTGAAGTTGTTCGATTTTATCAAGTCCTAAGAATAAAATAAATATTGTAAAAAATATACTACTACGCTACTTTAAATTTTGAATTACCTTCACATTCTTCTATCAGATTAGCTAAGGCATCAACATCAGGACCAGCAATTTTCAGCATATTTTGTAAGCCATCTAAAACCACTTGGATAACCTGACTATCTTGACAAGATAAGAGAGCACAAAGGGGAGCAACAACACCTGCATTGATAATACAATCTACTTGTTGACTATTGCCACTGATAGTTAAATTAGTAATTGCCCATGCTGCTTCCTTCTGTGTTTGGAATTCACTCTGCAGCAATAAAAATAATATAACTAAGTACTCGAGTACCAATATTTCAATACTTTTCATAAAATCAAATAAAATTTTTTGGTATAGAAAAATATAAATAAATAATATATTTTACTTTGATCTAATTATTTTTATAACCATATAAATTTAAACACAATTATCACTAGACTTATGACAAATAAAATATATTTAAAAAAATATTATTTAGAATGAGAAATTTACTTAATTAGTTTTATGTTTTTAATAGTTATATAACATAATCATAGAATATGTAATATACTAAACTAATTAATTTAATGTTATAACCTCTTTTATAGTTATTTTAAAGAATTATTTGAGTATTATTTCACCTTAGAAAGATGCATTATTATTTTTGGTATCAGTCCAGCATCTATAACAGCTTGAACTTGCACTTGATTTCCAGCAGTAACATTTGAAAGGAACCAAACAGCTTCCTGAAAAAAGAAATGGATTGTATGTTAGACGTATATTAGAAAATAAAATAAAACAAATTATAAAGTCAACATCATTTTTTTTTTTGTATTCATTTTAAAAATCATCACTAGATATATAATTAAGAAACTGTTTAATTGAAAATAAAAGTGAAGAAAATAATTTTTGAACTTTCGATAAACAGAAAAAAATAATAATAAGAATAAAAATATAAGAAATATGTTTCTACAGAATAATAAAAATCATTTATTGAACTATAAATGTACAAAATATATTTGTCAATTGCAATAAAAGTGAAATGTATTAAACATAAATATATAAAGCAACATTGAATATTGATATAACACTATTATACCCCAAACAGATTTTTAATTAAAAAGCAAATATAAGCATACAAAAAAACTAATTAAGAAAATCTGCAATCCATCAAATAAAAGTACATCAACTTAGAGCCAAAAATAATCAATAATTTTATTAGATACATTTTTAAAGTGAAATTTATTATTAATTATTTAATTTTTTTTTTTTTTATATTCTTTTATGGTCGAAAATAAATACTACCTTGCAAATCTTCTCTTTCGAATGAGAAAGTAAAGCTGGAAAATGACATAATGCTCCAGCATCAAGTACTACTTGAGTTTGTTCATCAGTTCCAGTAACTATATTTCCTATTGCGCGTAATGCTGCTGTTTGTACCTAAGAAGCAATAATTTTCATATTGATATAATCTTAGAAATTGTAACAAGTAATATTTCATAGGTTTATTAACTTTTTGAAACTATATACTTTCTCCAAATTAATTAAATTATGTACAAACCTTTACTTCTTTATGAGATAATAATGGAATTAAATTAGGCACAATACCACTGTCAATTACTCTTTGAATTTGATCATTACCACCATCTGTCAAATAGCTAATAGCCCAAACTGTATCAACTAATATCTATTTTTTTTTTAAAACAATTAAATATTAGTTATATATTAATTATTAAAATTAGAGTAATATTAAATCATAATTACATTAATATCTTTATTATTAATCAAATAATTAAGGGCAGGTAGAAGTTCATCAATTACATGTTGTACTGGTGGTGGATCTTTATTTCGACACAAATTAACTATGACCCAAGTGACATTTCGCATGAAAGTTATTGGTATCGTTGGATTGATAAATAAAAGTAATCTTGGCACAACATTCAAACTAATAACATAATCACGTAACTGCGGACCATCGCCAATAATATTACCTAAAAGTAAAAACAAATATAGAACAGTTATAATTAATTTTTATAAAAACAATTTAATAATAATAATTAAATACCTAATGCCCAAACTGCTTGTTCACAAACTGTCTGATTAGATGAGTTTAATAAATTTAAAAACAATGGAACAGCTCCAGCTGAAACAACTGCTTGAGTTTGAAGTGATGTACCACTAGCAATATTAGTTAAAGCCCATGCAGCTTCAAATTGCAAAGTTGGGCTACAAATAACATTATAAATGAATTATAAATATTTAATGTATCAATGAACAGTAAAGTACATTAAAGACTTTATTTGGTAAAATACCAAAATCACTAATAAGAAGTAATACTCAAGCATAGGACTTATTCAGACCTTATTTAACTATTACTATAAAAAAAAATTTAACATTGTATTAACTTTAATTAATTAAAAATATAGTTATAACAATACATAAGTATATATGAATATTCATTAATAGTATTATCATTATGTAAATATTTTAACTTTAAGCAAAGAAATTAATAACAAATTAGTTATTAATTGGGCACTAATATTTATATATAAATTAGTGATGGGCTTAATCGAGTAAATTTTTTGAAAAATTACTCAAAATTAAAATAATTTATTCATTCGATAAAAATAATCACTTATATTTCCTAATCGAAAAAATTACTCCGAATATGAATATACTTGTAGTAAATAAATTAATTAAATTTTGCTTTTTTTATTTGTTGATGTAATACTATTAAGTATTCATTAAATTATAATTTAGAAATAATAATAAACATATAATTATATTGCATTTTTATAAGTTTTTTAAAGAAAAGACCAGAGTTTTTTTATTAATAATTATTGTCTTTAATTTAAAGTAATCTAATGGTCTAAAATACTCTAAATTATAAATTATGATTAAAATTTACCATTTATATACCTTTATATATTTAAAATAAAAGATTATAAATATTTTACAAATGTTTATAGCTTCAAACCCAGTTAAAAGTTTAATTACACATAAGTTATTTTAAATACACTTTATTAAATATACACCAAACTGAAAATTAACAGTTAACTACTAAACAATATTTATAGTTCATTTTCATAACCAACGTGCAAGCCTGTAGTTCAACCAGTTTACTTTAAAGTAAATATAAACTATAATGGAAACTGTAAAGTATTATGTTTTTGTCTGTACTATTTTTCAAATTTTAAATATACTAATCTGATTACTTAATTAGTAATAATATTTGCCCAACAGTCAATAATTCAAAACATTTGAACTATTCTAAGATTAAAAGAATAGATGAATTTGATCATTTTACTAATAATCAAAATTCATTGATTATTTAATTATTTTACCCATAATTAAAATTATTAAATTACTTGATTATTTTTATCATAATTAAAAAATCTCAATTGTTTTTATAATCAAAATATCTCGCTAATATATCTGGATTATGCCCATTTCTAAATATATAATAATAAATAGTAAAAATAATCAACAACTAATAACTAATAAAATATAAATGAATAACTAGGGCTCGGATTTTAAAGCATAGTAAATAACCAAAAAAGCAAAAATGAAGCATATTTAAAAAAAAAAAAAGCAAAAGAGAGCATGACTAAAAATTAACATGTACTAGTTACAAAACTAAGTAAAAAAATTTAAAAATTAATTTAAATTAAAAAAATTATTAACTACCATATATTTAGCAAGATTTGCAATAGTGAAATTGGCTCTATTGTCTGATAGAATATTTATATACATAGAAACAAACGCTCTACATCCACTGAAGCAGTGGCGTACGTAGCCAAGGGGAGCTAAGAAATTGTAGCCTTTCTCTTATAAGCCGTGTTTATGTGTATCTACCAGACTAGTATAATACTAGTTGGTATTTAAATATTTTAAAACTTGGTACTAACTAAATGTTGAAGAATAACTGGTATATGTCATTGATAAATACATAAACATTAACTTCTACCATGATCATAACTATCTTTTTCGTGGTTATTGTGAATGCTTAGGTGACTATTGTCTAATAATTTTATTTTATAATCACAATAGTTTTAATACCATGTTATGTTATGACGATGCTATTTCAGCTAACCACCGAAAATGTATTATTAATTATATTTTAATATATATTATTAAAACTAATTTAAAATGTTGAAAATACATTTTTAAATTTGGATGCTGTAGGGGAGTTATAGTTATACTCTTAAAGCTTTTCTTAGCTAACCTGCCTAAAAAAAGTGTTTAGTCTCCCTATTTAAAAATCCTGTGTATACCAATGCATTGAATTTATTGGCGTGTACTTCATGCCAGAAGTTTCATTTAAATATACGATTATAAATTACAACACTAAAACTTAAATTTTGAAATGGTTGATATTGATTTTATAGAAGTACTGACCATAGGTTCTACAGGCTATCTGTAAATCTAAAATCTATACATTTAATACATTTTAAAATCAATTCGATAATGAAAACAATAATAATCTAATATAACCATTAAGTCCGTTTCTGGGTTTTTCACATTTCTTAATTATTAAATTAATTTTTTTTTAATACTAAAGCATTATAAAAATATAAAAATTCCACAGTTGAAATAACTGAAAAAAAAAACAATAAAAATGCAAAAAATCATTTACACAAAAAAAAAGTAAAAATAAATTGATTTATTTGTAATCAAAATTACGTGAAATAAATGTATGTAAAAAAATTATATTTCTATCTCATGCATAAAAAAAGAAACATATGCTTTAAAATCCAAGCCCTATTAATAATCATTTTACTTACTTATTATGCTCATCTAAACATCGAACCAAAATAGGAAGTATTTCACTGTTAATAAGCTCATCTATTGGTGGATTTCGATCCGATGAAAGTAATTTTCTTGCTGATTGAATGGCTTTAAGTTGTACATCTGGATTATTACTACCAGCTTCTTCAACTAATGACCGTAAATCTTTATCAGTTAAAGGTTTTTCTGCATCTGCATCCTCTATAAGGTAAATAATAATTTTGAAAAATGATAAAATACAATTTTTGTTATTATAAATATATATTATATTATACCATTCATAACTTCACCAACATTTCTACGTTTCATTAGTTCTTGCTCCTGTTTATTTTTACGAATACCAACAGTAACTTCACTTCTTATTCTTCGCCTTTCCTGTGTATATGAACAAAATTAAATAAATAAATAATTTTAATCTGAAATATCTACAACTCTTAGGATTCTAAATTAATAGTTGATATTCTTTATGAGCTAATGAACCAAAAATGTAACTGAAAATATTTTTAAATTGTAGAATATTTTTTTAGGTAAATAATTGATTTTCTATTTCGCTACAAGTTAGTTGTTTTGGACTACAAAAATAAAATGCTAATATTTACTTTAGGCTGTTGATAAATTCTATGTTAAATGTATGTATTTATGTATTATTCATCATTCAATTAATCAATTACTGTTGAAGTATTCAACATTTTGTAAACAATCAAACTATATTCTCATATTAATAAATAACATTAAATAACAAATCACTGTTTAATTTTAATTTCTTTTTTTTTTATACAAAAATATCATTCATTTATAATCAATAAAACACATTTTTACTATAGTAACAAACATAAATTTAAAAAATTGTTATCATTTTGATAAAGCATTAAAAATTATTCCTGAAATGTTATTATACCAAAATATAGGTTTTACCTGGATATAAATTTAGAATTGTTTATCTTGTAAAATACTTTTTTAGGAACAATTTAGGATCAAATAACTGGTATAAAAAGTAATTTGAATATTCTTAAAACGAGAAAACAATAAAAAGTAATTTTCAATTATGAAAATACATTTTACATGTATTTAACCCGTTCACTGCTAACCATAATTTGATATATTTGTTACTATGCTGACGAAAATCAGGATTTTTTTTTAATGATGCCAATTTTTAATAACCAAGATCTAAAATTAGAATTATCAAGGTATGACAAGCACAAAACAATTAAACAATACTTGAAGATAACGCTAAAGAAAATTTATTTGTTTATCCGTAACGCTGATAAAATTATAAAGAAAAGAAAAATCATATATTGATGACACCAATTTGCGTCATCAGCATACGGGAACAATGCTAAATGACGCCAATTGGCGTCATCAGCAGTGAATGGGTTTATGTTATTTCTTTTAACTTTAAGACTTACAAATTACTCTAATATGTCAATGAATACAAATATATCTACCTATACTCAATACAATTCATCAAAGTTTAACTAACATAACATTTGTTACAATTGAATCAAATGAGTATTGTAAATGAGGAATATTTATGTTTTGATTAAAATAAAGAAACTAATTAACAAAACAGTATAAGCAAGTTCATATACTTATATTAATGAAGTATTATATATTAAAAATGGTAACCTATTAACAAATTATCACATCATACATTAATTTAAATTTTCTAACTCTTACTAAACTCTTACTATGATGTATTATAATTTATATAATAACTTCATTTCATAAATATAACCCAAATTTTAATTAAATTATTGTTATCTCTAACATAAAACATAAATGATAAGAGTAGGTATAACCATTGAAGATAAATGTTTTAACAATATCTTTTAACACTGGACAGAAACCATTATTATTTTCTGTTATTTTATTATATTATAATGTTCAATTATATTTGATCAACATAAAATATTAAGGATGTATAATTTACAAATTCATTATATCATTTTTGATTCACATTGGCTAAACATTACTTAATATAAATAAAACATATAACAAAAAAATAAATCTGGACAGGAAATATTAATAAGATATAAATTAACCGAATAAAGATACTCAAGAAAAGGGGTATATGATTGTCAAATGATTGTAGCTTAAATGCAACTATATGACAAAACCTCTTAACATAAAGCGCTGTGAGAAAAAATTTTGAATTATCTGTAGGCAATACGAAAACAAAGTAAATATTTGATAGGGTTGCATGCAAATATCAGTAAATTACAGAATCCTTAGACACACTAATTTCATAACCTGTATCTATTGATCCGTCCTAAGGGATCTGTAGTTATTTTTTCCAGGATTTACAACGGTCTAGATGTATTTCTTATATAACATTTTTCAAATAAATTATTTAGGTTTCCAATAAAAATGTAACATTAACCAATATGGTAAGAGCTCGCCTTGCCTTGAGCACTTTCACTGTTGGCAAAGGGAAGACTCTCTAGGGGTTCACTGTGAATGACGCACAAGTCTTGGGACGAAAACTGAAACATATGACAACAGAAACCGACACGTCGTACTTGCGTGCGTACCTTTACACCTCTCGGTAACATGGTCAATGTCAGTGTATCGGTGACATAAAAACGCGAGTAGTACTTACGATTTCGGTTTTGCCTCGGTGCTTGAAGCTCTGCAACCGGTGGCCGATTACTTTGTCGTCGGACATTTTCGATTGATGAGCGTCGGACGAGAGGAAGATGAACGTGCGAACTGCGATTCGAGATAATAATCCGCGACAGTCGGCTTCTACTGGTGCGGTTGACGTGATTCGTGCACGGTGCGGACAACGTTTTGGACAACAGCAGAACGTGCAGCGATACCGGGCGAAGTGACGTTGTCGGCGGCGACGACGATAGTGATACACAATAATATTAATAGTACCGACACCGGCGTTTACAACTGTCGTACGAACTTGTGCGAACGACGGCGATGAGAGTGCTGCAGGCCGCGCGTGTAGCTACGGATGAGTATAAAAAAAAAAAAAAAAAA